ACCGAAGTACGTGCCCTTAGTGGGAACCGAACCCGGGTCTCTCTGGACCGCAGGCCGACGCTCTAACCTCTGAGCCAAACTGGCCAGGGCTTTATCCTTTTTTTTTTTATCTTCACCCGAGGACATTTTTTTCCATTTTTTGCACAGATAGAGTGGGAGGGAGAGAGAGGAAGAGAGAGAGAGAGAGAAACATCGACGTGAAAGGGACACATCGAGTGGCTGCCACCCGCACGACCAACCAAGGCCGGGGACAAACTGCAACCGAGGTACATGCCCTTAGCAGGAACCGAACCCGGGTCTCTCAGGACCGCAGGCCGATGCTCTAACCGCTGAGCCAAACCGGGTAGGGCCAACTGATGGCATTTTTATTTTCACAACACATAGTCTCACAATAACACTACCAAACTCTTATTAACGACATAATTACTGAAAACAATTTAAGATTATTTGTTTATATTGTTTTTATTTTATTTTGTGCAGTTCTTTTTATTCTTAGGTTATGTCTCTTTAGAGATATACTGTCTAATTATTTTTTAATTTTTATTATTTTTAAATATTTTCACTGATTTTTAGAGAGAGAGGGAGAGAGAAAAACATCAATGTGAGAGCGAAACATCGATCACCTGCTTCCTGTACACCCTGTACCTGGGACTGAGCCCAACCCACAACCTGGGCATGTGCCCTGTCCGGGGATCAAACTGGCAACCTTTTGGTGCACAGGACGATGCCCAACCAACTGAGCCACACTGGTCAGGGCTGATGATTGTTTTCAAATCGCTTGAAATAATTCCTCTCTATATGGTTATGCCAATAATTCTATGCAGGGAAGTTCATTTGGCTTTTTATTTTTACAGAATTTTTTAAAGTTTAAACTTATTTTTTAATTATATAAAATATTTACATGATTCCTAAGTCAACTATAGAAAACTATGTCTATTTTCAGAAGCCTAGCTTCCATCCCTATATTCTCCACCCTTCCTCATGTGTGAATACTTTTATAAGTTTTTGGATTATTCTTTCATTGTGGCATTTATATTTTAACATAAATACTGTGCATATGGGGGTGTACACCTCCATGCTTTCTTGAATGAATGGTAGAATAATATGCACATTTTTCTCTTGAAAGTAATTCTTGGAAATTATTCTACTAAAAGATATAGAGAGCTTCTCATTCTTTTCTGTAGCTGCATAGTATTCCCTTGTTGGACTGTTATATATTTTATTCAACCAGCTTTGTATTTGGGTTATTTACAGTCAGTGCTGTAATAAGATACTGGTCAAAGGGCAAATGCATAGGAAATTTTTCTAGAAACTGACAAATTCTCTGTGGTTGTATCATTTTGAATTCTCAGCAGTGATGCATGTGAGTACCTGTTCCCCCAGCCATGCCGAGAATATGATGTCAATCTTGAAACAAATGTGTTGTGCTATAATTTAATTCGTATTTTTCTTTTGGGAAGGAGGTTGAGCATATTGTTATATGTTCAAGGGTCACGTGCGTGATTGAACAGGGCTCAGCACACCATATCCATATACTAACTAGCCAGCAAGCTGGAAAGACAAGAAGAAATGGAGGCTGGCAGATTCTCCTTAAGAACATGACACACAAGTCATATCTCATTACTTTTATTTTCTATTAGTTATAAGAGAAACTAGGAAATGAAATTTCCAGTTGGGTGACCATGAGTCCCATTAAAATTTGGAATGGGGGTGAGTGTTCTATTACCAAGAGGCAGAAGGGGTGCGTGGGCACTAGGGATAGTTGGCAGTTTCTGTCTCATTTTAAGAAAAATCCGTATTTCTTTTGTCCTCATCTCTTAATAGTTTCCCTCTTACTGGACTTCTTGCTGTTTCTTCAAAAACCAAGTGTCCTCTCTATGGATCTACCGACTCTTTTCTCTGCCTGACATATTCCTCTCCCAAAACCCATGGCTCACTCTCTCACTTAGATTTCTGCCCCACAGTGATGCTTTCTTGAACACTGATAATAATCAACAACTCCCCTTTAATTTCCTTTGCTTTTCTTCTTAGAACTTATCATCTGACATAATAAACATACTCTTCTTTGCTTGTTTAGTTTCTCATATTTTCCACTCCCTAACTAATAATAATGAACCCTCTATGATGCTTAAATATGCCCGGCATTGACCTAAGTGTTGGTGATTTCTATGTATTTGAAGGGAATTAATTCTCACAACAACCCTCTGATTGGCCATTGCCATGCTAGCACTGCATAACAAACCTCACTGCAGTTGTGAGCTTACATTCTTTTATTCTCGTTCATGCACCTGCGGGTTGACTGAGGGTAGATTGACATACACCAGACTGAGCTGGACTTGCCTCTGAGTTACATGTTGGGTCCAGGTGGGAACACTCTTCTCATGACAGTGGAAGAGGCAGCAGGGGGCAAGCCCCACCATGCGAGGACACTCAAGCCTCTGTTTGCGTCATGTCTGCTACCACCCGAGCACCAAAGCAAGTTATGTCGCTGAGCACAACTGCAAGGAAACAGAAAAATATACTCTTATCATGAAGGTGAGGGAGAGGGACTATTTACTGAAAAGAAAAGTCTTATCTGCCATGTCCTATTTCAGATAAGGAAACCTAAAAGGCAAGTAGCTGGCTTTGGTCATGCACACTTAGTACCTCGTGGTACGGAATGCAAATCCAGTTGGTATAGCACCAGTCTAGCCAGTACAAATCTAGCTTGTACTAGTAATAGGAGAGCAGGAACTGAGTCTGCTTCTTTCAGGTATATTTCCAGCATCTACAACAGTGCTAGGCACTTTGTGGGCACTCAGGAAATACTTGGAGCAAGTAAATGAACTCAGCACAGTGCGTGGCCCTTGTTGGTTGGTATTTGAGAAATGAAAGGTGTTATTAAGAAAAACTGTTTAAAATGTAGGAATAAGAGAAAGGCAGCATGTCTTTTCAGGGTCACATTTTAACATTAATTGGTCCACCCAAGGATTATTTAATTATCTAGGGAAATGTACCACTTTTTGACTCATTATCTACTATTGATTACAGACCCCCCAACGTCTACGAAGTAATCTATTTATTTTTGTTCATTACAGATGTAAATTATTTCTAAAATACAAATTATTGCCCTGGGTCGGTTTGGCTCAGCGGTTGGAGCATTGACCTGTGGACCGGAGAGTCCCGGGTTCGGTTCCCGCTAGGGCCACATACAAAAAAATAAATAAATAAATAAAAATACAAATTATTCCAAAAAAAGAAAACGCCCCAAAAAACAAAAGTTAATATTATATTGCCCCAGAGGACATTAAAACGTATTTTTCTAACCTAGCAATCTTAGTCCAACAGATTTTCTCCACTGCCTAGAAATTTCTTTCTCTAATTTCATTGGAACCAACTTCACCATTCTGTTGGTTTCCTCAGAAATGAGTTGAATTGGACTTTGACATGTCTTCATTTTCTATTTGTAGTTACATATGTAACTTTTTGAAAATTGTACTTTAATATTTGCACTATTATCTATTTTTTCCTGCTGACTCTGAAAGTCGTTTTTCACTTTCAGTTTAATGCAACTCTTATCTACAGAATCCCCATCACTCTGGCATAAGGGAATGCCAAGCTGGGATAGGAGGGGAGAGGAGAGAATAAGAAGAACTGAGGTGTTGGCAGTGACTTCCACACTAGCCACTGGAGCACCGAGCACTATAAGGCTTTCCAGGAGCCTGTGCTAATTCAACCTTCTGGTCATGTAACTAGAAAAGCTTCTGCATGTCTCCCAGAGACATTTAACATCCGGAAAACAAAACTGTTGAAGCTCTGGCTCTTGCTGGAAACACCTGTTCATCAATAACCAGTTATTATGGATTACTGAAGACAACCCTCCTTCACAGCTCTGTGGGAGGCACAGGGGTTGAAGTTTTTTACAGGCACACCTGGGGCATACTGCCGTCAGACCACCAGATAAAGCCAGTCGAACCCTTTGGGCTGGTGGATGTCTTGACTTCCAGTTGTCAAAAACTCAACACCCGTGAAGCAATAAAGTGAGGCACAGGAAAAGGAGGTGTGCCCGTATTTTGAAATAAACAATTAAATGGGACCAACTTAAAAAATAATAATAATAAAGGAGACCAACTAAAAAAACTTTAGTTCGAGGAGCCCCCCTCCCCCCCAATTCTGGCTACGTCAGTAATCAGAATTTCCTTAATCTCAACAAATGCGATTCGTCAGCAGAACATACTGAAATTCCATTCCAATATCACGAAGATTTATTAATCCAGATCTTTTCTCCCTTGGCCTTTTACTCTTGGATTGAGTGATAATTCTACGTATTTCCCAAGCACTTCGGCGTCTACAAAGAGCGCTATGCATTCTCTGCTGGGCATCGGAGGGAGGGTCGAGGGTCGGAATCTGGTAACTTTCTGGTAACTTTCGGACAACCTTCGGCCAAGGCAGTAAGAACCTCAGCGCGGGGTCTGAATCCCCGTTGCCCTGCTTGTTTGTCGTGTCTCTGTGACTTCGTTCCCTTGCCCATACAAATAGGAGGACCAGTCGGAGTCCAGACTTTCTATGAATTACATGAAACGATCAAGGTGAAGGATTTAGCACGGAACTCCACCCAGGATGGTACTGTTTAAACCACTGCAGGTAATCAATGCTGGGCCGTGATTGGTCCTCACTGGCAGCCCCTGTGGGCCGAGGAGCCGAGGACACTCCCCTCCCCCGTCTGGTGGAGGCCCAGAGCCTGAAGGCCGCGCCCCTCGCGCTCGCCCCGCCCCGCCCCGCCCATAGCGGGCCGGGTGGGGACTCCGTCCCCTGGGAAACGGGACGCGCAGCTCACCCTGGGCCGGCGCCTCTGCCCGCTGCCCAGTAGCCGCAGGTCGGGAGAGCGGCCGCGCGCTCGGTGGTCGCGGGAGGAGTCGGGAGCCTCTCGGGGCGCGTGTGCGGAGGGGTGTCTCTCCCACCCGGGCTGGGCAGGGGCGAGCGCGGAGCCGGCCAGCCCCGCATCTCCTCGGACGTGCCCGATGGCAGCCCCAGGGGTAGATCGGGAGGCGCCAGGCGTCCGGGAAGTCCCGACCCTTCGCCTAACCGCGGGCGCCAGCCTGGAGGAGGAGGAGGAGGGGGAAGAAGAGGAGGCGGTGGCGGCCAGGAGAGCGCGGAGTTTCGCCCGAGACGCGCGGGTGCGCTTCCTCGGCAGCCGCCTGGAGCAGATGCTGGGGCTCCTGGCGGAGAAGTGGAGGCAGTATTTGGAGAGCGCGGACAACCGGCAGGTCCTGGGGGAGTTTCTGGACAGCCCCAGCCCCGCCTGCCTCGTGTTCAGCGTCGGCGCAGCGGGGCGGCTGGCGGCCTCCCGGGAGGTAAGGAGAACGGGAAAGGGACCCGGCCACCCCGTCCGCCCAGCATAACGGGGACTCGGGCGAGGACAGGCCAGTCGCGCCTTCTTGGGTTCCCGCAGCGCAAGCACTCGGGCGCTTTAACAAACTTTTTTTGAATGTGCCCTGGAGACGGCAGAATCCCAACGTGCGTCCACTTTGCAGCGAAGCGGCTGCAGGGGGGTTTCCAGGGCAGCCCCTGAGCCAGCGCGACCCGGGTAAAGCGGGACAGGCAGAGCTTCTTCCCGTTGCCCGGGCGTTAGGCGCAAGGTGGGTTCTGTGCCAGGTAGCATTCGTTCCAGTCGCTCTTGGGTCACTCTGGAGCCACATCCTTAAAAAATGTGCCTGGCGGAGCCCAGATAGCTTGACAAGTACTCTGACTGCCTGTGACCCCTACTTCTTCCCAGGGGAAAATACATGGCCCTTAAAAATGGGTGCCCGGGTAGTCTGCGCAAACGTGGTGCTCACCAGCCATCGAGGGGGCAGACCTTTTCCCTCCTCTTCTCTTCCCTCCGTTCCTCTTCCCCTACCCCTGTTAAAATGTAGATTGCTCGCCCCCTCGAAGGTGGACGTATCACCTACAAGGACAGCATTGGCATTTAGCATTTTTCAAGTGTGAAAAGTTTGAAGCAAGATTTGCTGCCTTTAGGTCTTACGGTGCCTGGCGGAATGGAAAGTGTTACTATCATCACTAGATGTGGTCCTCATAATATTTGGGAAATGGGATTCCGGAGAAGAGAGAGAATGGCAGGAACTTGCCTTCCGGTTTTGTGAATTTTGAAATTTTTGTTTTGCTAACTTTCTAATTGTAACTAACTTTTTAAAAAGTGTCAGTAGACAAGGAGATAGAACTCTTAACTCTGGTAGATACCAGCTTTTGTTTCTTTGACTAACAATCTAGCTACAAGTTAGAGTCTGCTTATTAACATGGAAAGTACACCTGGACTTAAATTATTTTGTTCTTGTTTCAGATTCCAAGAGATGCAAAACATAAACTTGTTTATATTGTCAAGAAGATTACTGAAAGCACTGGAGTAAATGACTTCTTTCAAACAGTTTTATTTGGAGAGATACCCGCCTCATCTCTTGGACATGTAACTGCTTTCCTAGACGAGGTACTAGTCTATCTTTAATATTTGAATCTTTCTTTTACCTCAGTGACACTTGGAATTATTTGGGAGAACACTGGCCCTTCCTTCCTTCCTTCCTTCCTTCCTTCCTTCCTTCCTTCCTTCCTTCCTTCCTTCCTTCCTTCCTTCCTTCCTTCCTTTTTCCCTCCCTCCCTCCCTCCCTCCCTCCCTCCCTCCCTTCCTTCCTTGACAATGTAGAAAGCCTGTAATCTGTTTAGCAGACGGATGGAGTTGTGATAATATTGAGACTGTTCCTGAAATGAACTGATGCTGCTACTAATATTCCCCAGGAGGTATTTGTAGGATCATCTTTTCCCTCTTTCTAAATAATGGAAGTAAATAAAAAGCAGCTTGGATTGAATAGGCTCTTGGACTTAGCTAGAGGTTTTCAACTTTACATTCAGAGTAGAGACACAAGGACACTTTGGAAAGGGTTTTGAAAATCAGTTTTTGATTCTTGTTTAAGTGTCATTGATGACAGATAATGGTTAAAAGGAATGGAAACACAGTGTTTTAGAAATGGTTGCCTTAAAGATCCTTTTTTTTCTCCCTTCAGTCAGAGAAGTGCTCCCTACTCCAGTGTTACTGGCACTTCAGGTTGCATGAGAACCGCCTGGAGATTTTGTTAAAGACCGGCTGAGGGGGGCGGGTATTCTGCATTTCCAGCCTGATGCAGCAGCCTTGAGGAACAACGTGCTAACTGACCAGTTCCAGGGAACTCGAGCAGTGGTTTTCACACTCTGCTGACCCTTAGAATCACCTGGGGAACTTTACGACATAGCCAGGCCCAGGTCACACCTCAAACAAAGTAAGCTAATGCCTGGCTCCCACCAGTATACCAGGTGATTTTCATGTGCCCCAAACTTTGGAACTGCTGGGTTGGGTGTCAGTAAATCAGACCTCAGTCAGTGCAGTCCTGCCAAAACCAATGGTCAGAATAATTGCCAACATATTTATTACAATGATCTGCCACTCTTATACATCTCTCCTACAGCCTTTTTGAAGGGAGGTATTTTCTTGCTGTCTTTGGGCTCTCATCCCCCAATTTCAGTATCCTACCCCAGTTTCCCTCCCATCCTGTGGAATTTACTTGGTTTAAGCTGATTTCAAGAGACACTAAGCCGGACCGGTGTGGCTCAGTGGATTGAGTGTCATCCCATGGACTGACAGGTCCTAGTTCAATTCCTGGTCAGGGCACATGCCTGGGTTGTGGGCTCAATCCCCAGTAGGGGACCTGCAGGAGGCAGCCAATTGATGTTTCTCTCTCACATCGATGTTTCTATCTCTCTCTCCGTCTGTCAAATCAATAAATAAACAAATAGACACTAAGAGAGTTTTCTATCCTCAGCCTCAGGGACAGTTGAGGTAAATAGCAGTTGTTCAGTAAATTTTTATTGAACTGAATCTGATGGAAGGATTTCACATGACTTTTGGTCATTCACATCCGGGCTGCCACCCGCTGGGTTTGGGGGGCAAGGCTGTACCCATCACCAGTATTCTTGCTCTACCATCTGAAGTTACACAACTCTTTGAAGTTCCTCTGATCTTTCTCCGAATTTATCTCAGTCTCAATGCATATCACTCTGAAAAAGGCTTTAAATGATAGAATAAGCCGTTCATGAGAAAAAACACCCAGAACCTCAGGATTTTAAGTGGCTTGAAAGATTCTCATTTAATTATGCTTGAGGATATGAGTATTAGGAAGGGGAGGAAGTACGGACATCTCACTTACGAGATCACTTAGGTTTATTTATGGACAGGGCTTCAGTTCAGTATGAATGAGGCCCTAAGGCATGGTTGTACATTTTTAGGTTGAAAGTTGCCAAGAACCGTCTTGCTTAGACTCCTTTTCAGCTCACAGAATCGGTGGATTAACAGGGATATAGGCGGTCCTCCCCATCCTCTCTGGCCAAGGTCTCTCTCCCAAATTCCATACTTGGAGATCCACCTGCTGTTCCCACTTGATGTGTAACAGACATCTCAGACCTGATGTCCAAAGTTGAACTGGTCTTCCCCAACCCGTGTTACTTATAGGTGCCCCTAGAATGGTGGATCCGAGCTCCATCCTTCCAGTTGCTCAGGCCGAAAACCTCCAAGTCAGCCCTGACTCCTTTCTTTGGCTCACATTTTGTATCCATTCTGTCAGGAAATCATGCAAGTGCCACTTTCAGGGTATATCCAGAATCAGTCTCCTTCTCACTCCCCTGAGACCACCCTGGTCCAGGTGACCATGACCTGTCATGTGTTACTGCATTGGTCTCCTGGTCTGTCTCCCTGCGTCTGTGGGTCTCCCAACCGGACTCAGTTCCCAACACAGCCCCTGGAGTGATCCTTGTTGAAACACGAGTCAGAACATGTCACTTCTCTGCTCAGACCCTGCACTGGTCCCCGCTTCACTCCACATAAGGGCCCAGGGGCTTGTAGTCGGTAGACTGTGGATTGCTGCTCACTGTGAATCAGCAGCGTCCCTGGGAAGCTTGTTAGAACTGGAGAATCTCTGGGACGCTGCTCAGAACGGGGGATTCCTAATGCTTGTTATAGGATGAAAGAACTGACCTCTAATCTCTGCTCTGACCTCGTCCTCACCTCTCTCGACTCATCTCACCTGCCAACTCCTGGCCTCCTTGCTGGTCCTAATGGCCTCAGACACACTGTTGTCACAGGTCCTTTGTTCTTGTTATCTCTTCATTTTCCCTAGAATCCCCTCAGCCAACCCTGCTTCAAGTCTTTTTGTTTAGAGACCTCTCATCCCTGAGATCTCCACCCAGGAGAGCAGGATTAGGGTCAGGCAAGTGAGGGACCTACACCAAGCGCAAAATTCAGCGGAACAAAAGCAACTCAGTGATCAGGGTAGATGTTATTTTCATGCAGTGTTTAAAATGACAATCAATGCAGAAAGCCCCGAGACGTTCAATAAAATGGGACCACTACCAGCGCCACGCCAGGTCATATTGGAGCTGGTGACGAAAAGAAAAGTCAGCAATACCAATTTGGTCTTTGTTGAAAAATATTGATATTTTGTTCCCTGTAAAATTTTTTGCATTACTTTTGCTTTAAAAAAATATTTTTAAACACTCTCATCTTGGCGACTGAGCTTTTCGGTGCCCTCTTACACTTTGTTCCCAAGGTAAGTGCCTCCTGGCTTTATGCTAGTCCCGGCTCTGAACCTTTGTTTGCTCGTCGGTGTGTCCCAAACACTGAAGACGTTGCCCACGCACAGTAGGAGCTCCATAGACACTTGTCACACGAATGAAGGTTAAATAAGGGCTAATAGATATCCTGTTCTTATAACCAGCAAAGCACTGAAACTTGAAGATATTTAGGGAAGAAGCACTTGGTGTATGACCTCTCCACTTGACATTTTTGGGACATTTACGTGAAAAGGACACTTGGGGAATTTTAGGCTAATAAGCTCATGGTGGTTATTTGTGCATTTAAGGAATATTTATTGACTACCGACTGGCAGTTGGTGAGGAAGTTTCTGCCCTTGGAAAGCCTGCGGACGGACCTAGGGAGGCAGGCAGCTGAGCCAGGCGGAGAGGACATGGCAGGCGGGGCGGGGGGGTGGGGGTTAGCAGCTGCTTTGGGAGCCTGCTGGCATCTGTCCACATCTGGAGGGGTCAGCGGAAGGTGTGGGTAGTCTTGAATAGGATGATCACAGGTCTCAGTTTGCCTGGGGCAGTTTTTGTTTCCACCTGTTACAGATCAGTTAACATCTGCTAATAATTTGTAGTGTTCCTTTGGACTGTCAAAAGCATCCACAGCTGTATGGTAAATTATTTGGTCCTCACGGTGTTGAAAGACAAGGAGGAGACAGCTAGATGTAGGAAATAGAGGGAGGGCATTCTGACCAGAGGGAGAAACATTACAAAGGCACAGAGGTGAGAAAATGCAGGTCGTTTTTTTTGTTTTTTTTTTAAAGGCGTGAAGTAGTGTAACTAGATTGGGGAACCAGAGTTGGAGAGTGGTGAGAAATAAGGCTGGAGAGGCTGATTAGAAACTAAGCAGCCGCGTAACCTTTTCAGACGGTTGCCAGCAGAGCCGATTGCCAAACCCAAACCCAGGTACTTATTGGAAGCTGGTACTCCTCGTGCACGCTCAGTGAAGGGCGTTCCCAGGGCAGGCTGCCTTGGGAAGTTAGGGAGTCAAATGGAATGTCAGTGGCCGTTTACAACTTGCGTTCTAAGCCGGTGGACTGCCGACTTTCTGGGTGATTTGTACATTAACAGAAAAAGCATGCAGTGCAGGGATTAGCAAATCGACGACTCAGTTGGGGAGTAAGGGAGAGGTTGTTACTGAGGTGGGGATTGGATTGGAAAGTATTGAGGGAATTTTCTAGTATTGGGGTTCTTAACTGGAATAGAATAAAGGAGGGCTGGACCAAGTGTTTGAGCCGAAAGTGGGGAAAGTCATTTGTGACTTCATACTTACTTTTTGTTTTTCCTTGAAATGATCTCGTATACTCTTATGTATATTCTACATTAAATAATCTTTGTGATCTGACTCACATATACACCGATTAATGATAATTCATGCTGATGTACTGTGGCCTCCCAGACTTTTCTCTCCAGTCCCTGTCTCTTCTGAACTCCAAGCTTAGACATTGACCTTCCTTCTGGACTGGCCCCCGGATGTCTGATGCACGTAATCCAGCACGTCCCAAACTGAGCTCCCGGTCTCCTTCCAACGTCACGGGCATGATTATTTGTATAACATTATGTAATTATATTTAGCAAAGGTATTTAACATGTCGTGTAATTATTCCTTTAATTATGTGTCACGTTGACTCAGGTATTGAAAGAAACAATAATTGTGAATGTTTATCAAGCCAGAGAGGAAGCATGATTGGGTTCTTGTGGCTAATGTCTGGGCCCCGTCCTTGGACGGGCCAGTTCAAGTGGCCTGGGGCCCAGGCTCCTGTATTTTGCGTCTCTACTGATTTAAGAAGTGTTTTAAGAATAAACTCCCCAGTTTAAAAAAGGATGAAAGAAAGTAGGTAAGGGAACTACATCAAAGGCCCCATAGCACTTTTATCTGGAGTTGTGTAGCGTCTTGGTAAACAGGTCCACACTTTCACAGAGAAAGTTTGGGGTTTTTCTTATGAATCATAAAAACTAGACCAAAAAAAACTTCCCAAGTGAAACAAACAAAACAACCCCCCCAGTTAATTAAATTACGTTGCATATATCTTAATAAGATTGTAATTAAAAAGCATATCCCAGGTCTGGTGGTTTTAAACATTTTTTTAAGAAATATGTTTTTATTGATTTTTTTATAGAGAGAGGAAGGGAGAGAGAAGAGAGAAACATCGATCGGCCGCCTCCTGCATGCCCCCCGCCAGGGATTGAGCCTGTACCCTGGGCATGTGCCCTGACCAGGGATTGAACAGGGACCTCTCAGTCCATGGGACGACACTCAATCCACTGAGCCACACCGGCTGGGCCGTCTGGTGGTTTTAGGTGATGTTTGTAGAGATACTCTAGCTGTGCAGAGCTTGTGACTCAGAACTTCATGACGGTTTTATCTATAGCTTGTGACACACATGTTGAATGTGAAAAGAAGTTGGCCGCTGAAGGGATTGAGCAGTTCGGATCGGTAGCCACAACAGTCACGGGCACACGAAGTACAGCGCGGGGGTGTAGTCAGCAACAGTGGGGTAGCGGTGTGGGCGCCAGGCCGGTACCGGGAGTATCGGAAGGAGCACTTTGTAAAGTGTGTGCTTGTGTGACCACTATGCTGTCTGCCTGAAACTAATACATAATAATAATGAATGTCAACTGTAATTGAAAAATAGAATTAAAAAAAAAGTTGGCCTCATCACAGAATAATAAATAGAGAAAGTCTGAAACAGTACCTTATAAATTAGAAATGTGGAACACCCAGAATTTCCCTCACATCTGACTTTGAGAAGAAGCCATTGCTGCTGAGATTTAACAGAAAGCCCCTCTCCAGTGGCCTCCCAGCCCGGTCCCCTAGGCCCTTCATGCAGCCATTCGTTTTGGGGGTGCTGGCTCTAATTCCAGGCGGGCCAGACCAGCGGTTTCCCAGGAGCACTGTATTTCTGGAGCCCTCAGTGAAATGCCTGCTCTGACCTTTCCTCTTGGAGATTTCAGCCACGCAGTGACTTTCCTGACAAGCCTTCCCCAGGGCCCCTGTCTCGGGGGGCCGGGGCTTCTCCGGAATGCGCCTCCAGTCGGCCACACGTCGAGGGACCTGCCCACCGAGCCCTGGAGGGCAGGGACTCATCTTACTAACCTCTCTTCCTAGCTGGGCACGAGGGGGGCTCTGCAGGGAAAATGGAATACACAACCTGGAATGATTTGTTTCGACACCATTAGAAAACCAAAGTGAACTTTCCGCTTGTTTTTAATTAACCACAAGATTGTAGTCTAGGAGATGTGCGATGGACATCTCAATAAACCTGAAAACGGTGGAAAAACTATTTGCAGAGCATTTTAGCGAACGGAAATGTTACAGTGTAATTCTGGTAAACAAGATAGACTATATCCAAAAAATGAAAAAGTTTTGAAATCCGTATTATTGGAAAAAAAGCGGGGAAGCTAGAAGAGACGAGCTTCATTAACTCAGCAAATTCTTATTAATTAATGACTATAAGCTGAGCTCTGGGGATAAAAAATATACTTTGAGGGTCTTTACATGCATGGTTTCGTTGCTGTACCCAGTTTAATGATGGGAGTTCCCAAAAGGTCCATGTGGTTAAATAAACGTCTTTCTGATGATCAAACTTTAATCCAATGGGATGCTGCTGGGGCTTGAGAAGATTAATTTACTCCTGCCTCCCTGCGATTCAGAGAGATTTTTTTCATTAGTGTATCTGCCAATATGCCAGTTTGCATTAAGAAAGCAGTTTACTTACTTGACGTGATTTTGCTTATTTCATGCAGTGCTTGAGTCACTGAGAACCTCCATCAATGTTTGACGAATGGACCAATGAATGAACAAGCAGTAAATTATTTCCTCTTTGAAAGAATTTGTCTCATTGATGAATTCTAAATGGGTCACTGATTTTTGTCTTTTCTTTGTAGATTTGATATTCTAGGAGCATATTTAGGAAATCGAGTGGTTTTGTTGCCGATTTCATATGAGAAGAAAATCTTTGAAGGAGTATGTTGTATGTAAACTAATTTAACAGCTTTAAAAAATGTTTCTCTTTTTAGATTTTAGTGCCGGTTCTTTCTAATAGGAACAACCATAAATCCTGGTCCTGTTTTGTTTCACAAGACATGGAACGTCACATAGAAGCCATGAAGCATCAAATGCATATTTTTAGGGGTAAAATGTTGAGAAGAACTCTCCTACCAATTCCCACCATTGTGGGAAAAATGGACCTGGATCAGAAGTCTCCAGAGACCGAGTACGTAATGACCTGGAGAGCCGACATACCCATTTAATATCGCATTTCCAGCAAACTGTTAGCAAAACAGATCATTATAATACCTCATGATTTAAGAATAATGTTATGCTGAAGCACCATATGTATTATTTCCTTTCAAAGTATACTTTTTAAGAGCAGACTTCAAAAAGTAAGCTGTAACAACTGCCACGATGTCAAGGATATTCTTTTAGTAAAATGATTCAGAGGTTATAACTTTTTAACAATTTTTTTTGTTTTTATTAAAAAAAAAATTTTTTTTATCCTCACCCAAAGACATTTTTCCATTTTTTGTTCAGTTAGATTGGGATGGGGAGAGAGAGGAAGAGAGAAACATCAACGTGAAAGGGACCCATCGAGTGGTTGCCACCGCACGACCCAACCAGGGCCGGGGACAAACCGCAACCGAGGTACGTGCCCTTATCGGGAACCGAACCCGGCTCTCTCTGGACTGAAGGCCGACACTCTAACCGCTGAGCCAAACTGGCCAGGGCTTAACAATGTTTTTAAATGTTAGAGATATGCCAATGACAATAGCAATGTCACAACTCAAATCGAGGTCATAAAAATAATGGATCTGACTTTGAAGTATTTATATTTAGAAAGTAGTTCATGGACACATGAAATACCTGTTAAAACCCAAGGCCTACTTTACTTGGATGAAGCGATTTGTTTTTCAATGGTTTTATCAATCCTACCCAATGTTTGCAGGCTAGAGCCAAATGAAAGGGCAGTGCTCCATGCCATTGAATCCGTGGTCATTAAATGGTCACATCAAATCCAGAAAGTTATAGAAGAGGATTCAGTGCAGCCTCTGCTGAATGGTCTTCACGTGAACCCTCAAGCTGAACTGGATTTCTGGACGATGAGGAGAGAGAACCTATCATGCATTTATGATCAAGTAAGTAGATAGCCCTAGAAGCTGCTTGTAATTTGAATTCATAGAGTCAGTTGTAGAACTGGGTCTCTAGAGTAGTGATTTCGGATAATTCTAAAAATTGAACATATGGTCTTTGAATGATGTGATCATTTGCTCTCTTATTCCAAAGTGCTATATGGTGTGCACCTTTAAGATGAAGGATTGCCCTGGCCCATGTGGCTCAGTTGGTTGTAGGATCATCCTGTACACTGAAGGGTTGTGGGTCAGTTCCTGGTCAGGGCACATGCCTAGGTTGTGGGTTCAATTCCCGGCCCTGGTCAGGGTTAGTGTGAGAAGCAACAGATCGATGTTTCTCTCACATTGATGTTTCTCTTTCTCTCTCCCTCCCTCCCTCCCTTCCTCCCTTCCCCTCTCTCTAAATATCAATGAACATGGCTCTGGTCGGTGGCTCAGTTGGCTGGAGCCTCATCCCATACACCAAAAGGTTGCAGGTTTGATTCCTGGTCAGGGTGCATACCTAGGTCATGGGTTCGATCCCCTGTGCAGTTAGGGTGCATGTGGGAGGCAGCTGATTGGTGTTCCTCTCTCAACTTGATGTTTCTGTCTCCAGCCTCCTGCTGGAAATCAATAAAAACATATTCTCTGGTGAGGATTTTAAAAAAAATTGCCCTGTCTGGTTTGGCTCAGCGGTTAGAGTGTTGGCCTGCATACTGGAGAGTCCCAGGTTCGGTTCCCGCTAAGGGCACATGCCTCAGTTGCAGTTTGTCCCCGGCCCCGGTTGGGGTCGTGTGGGTGGCAGCCACTCGATGTGTCTCTCTCACATTGATGTTTCTCTCTCTCTCTTCCTCTCTCTCTCCCTCCCACTCTATCTGAAGATAAAGGCAAAAAAAAAAAAAAAAAAAAAAATTAATGGGAATTAAAATTAGTTCTGCCTTTTTTGAGGATATTTTCACAGCATTGGAGATAATTGGAAACACTTTGTGGCTTAGAAAAAGAGTGATTTCCCAGGGAAATAGCAAAGATCATAAGATTCAATTACTCTAGTCAATTTAAGCGATTGGGGAAGAAATACGGTCTTGCGCCGTGGAGAGACATAGCTTTGAGAAAAGCTGACTTTGGCTCCTTTGCCAGGCACATGCCTTATAAGTTACTCCATGCAGTGTTCTAAAAACTAGACATTTATTCATGTGTGTACATGCCTCAGATTTTTCTGAAACAGAGAAGACATTTTACATGGAAATGTTAATATTTTACCCATAGACTAATGTGTAAATTGACCTTGTTTTTGAAAATTAAAATTAAGAAAGCTAAGAAAAAAAAATGGTACTTTAAAAATTACTTTCAATTTGAAACCAGATATGTCTTTGAGGGTTAAATACTGCGGGTATTGTGCATGAGTGGAATGCAATTTAAATATTTTATTACAGAAAGCATTTATTTAGTAATCAATCTAGCTTATGTTTGTTAATTTTTTGTTTCTTTCCCAATTTAGCTTCAGGCTCCTACTGTCCTCAAAATGGTTAAGATCCTGAAAACTAAACGAAGCAGCTATTTCCCAACTTTGAAGGACATTTTCATGGCTGTGAAAAATGGTAAGACTCCGTTCCTTGGCCTGAGTGCCCCCCACGACCTGGCCCTGCCTGGCCACTCAGCCAGCCTTGTCCCGTTCGCCTGTTCATGAAATGATAGTACTCACCTCTTCTAATGGTAAATTCACCTTAACCCTCTGTACTCATCCTCCACTGACACTCATTTCTTAGGGTCTGTAGTGGGTACCCACCAAAGTGGCTCCAGATGGAAGTTTTAATGAGACGGTGTGTGTGAGGGGGAGAGGCCTTTGGTATTCAGCAAGGGATAAACGAAAGCCCAGCATGGAGATTTTCCTAATCAACAGTTGGGCTATAATTCACCAGTAGACTCTGAGTGTGTCTCCCATGTACCACTTGCTTAGTTTGTAAGAACTTAATCATCAACGAAGTTTTGGTGAAGATTCAACAGAGAGGAGGGTTTGTTTGGTTGGTGAAATATGAACAGGTAATACATTCATTCACATTGTTAAAAACCAGAAATTATTAAAAGGGGTCCAATGAAAAGTCTCCTTGTCCTCCCACTATCCAGTTTTGGCCCCACCCAGGGGTAACAGCCCTCCCCAGTGTCTGGATTTCTGTTTGTGGTTTTTAGGCATGTTTAAGCAAATACGGATAGACATAACACTGAAATTTTAAATGATAGAAGTATAAGATAATATGGACAAATAGCTTTTTTTTTTTTTCTAACATTAGAAAAATTTTATTTTTTCTTAAGTAACATGTGGAAGGTTAGGACATACTTAAAATCTACTTTGAAAATGTTTTGATACCTCTTTAGGGTTTTCTCCATGAATTCTGTTTGAAGAAGGAGGTAGATGAGGGGTGGATATTTGGGCTTGGGGGGTCTGTCAGATCTGGATTCCCATCCCAGATCCACGCAGCACTTCTTTTGTTTGCTGAGCCTCCGGTTGTCGTTGGCCAGATGCATGGCAGCACCTTCCGTGTGGACCTGTGAGGGTTAGAGCGAAGTTTTCCCTCTGTCACCACCGACATTGGGGCAGGGTGATTATTTGTTGTGGGGGGCTGTCCTGTGCCTTGTGGTGTGTTTAGCAGCATCCTTGGTCTCTGCTCACTCCCCCATCCCAGTGGTGACAATCAAGAATGTCTCGAGACATTGGCAGATGACCCTTGGGGGCAAAACCTCCCCTGGCTGAGAGCCACTGGACTGCAGATATAATGCAGTGGACAGAGTACCGGGCATAGAGCAAAGCATGTCCCAGTGAATAGAAGCTGCTCACAATTTAAACAATTTTTTTCCTCCATTGATCCTAGAGAGGAAGGGAGAGGGAGAGAGATAGAAACATCCGTGAGAGAGAACATCGATTGGCCGCCTCCTGCGTGCCCCCACTGGGGATTTGGCCCACAACCTGGGCATGTGCCCTGCTGGGGAATCAAACCAGCGACCTCTTGGTGCATGGTCAGTGCTCAACCACTGAGCCACACAGGCTGGGCTGCTCGCAGTTTGTTTCTGTGTTGGTATAAGATGAACGTTTTCTGTGGATGAAGCTGCTACAGGAACAAGTCCCAGGCATACTCAGAGTCTCCAGAGCACGTGGCCTGGAGATTCAGAAGAAAACCTTTTCCACAGACCAGGTGGCCCAGAGCCCTTGTCAGGTAGCGGTGGAGGCCCGCTCAAAGACACACACGCGGCCCTGGGAGATCACCAGGTGTGCTTATCACATTTAAAGGGCACTTAACCTATTAGATGCAATTAGTTCATTTTAAAATTAACATTGATAAAAACACTCTGATTTCAAAACATGAGTGCACCTGGGAAGAAATAGTTCCAGGACCTGCTCTCTCTTCCCAGGTCTTTACTTTGGGTGGACAGAGTAAGTGGCTGCATGTCAGGTAGAGTCACATGGGTGGGTGCACACCTGCCTCTCACAGCCCAAAAAGATCCGGCAGGTGTGGTTGGGGTTTTTTTTCCAGGCTGGAGTATTTTGGGGTAATGCCTGAAAATAAGAATTTACTTAATTTCCTACCTTCATAAATAAAGTTTTCAGTTAATCAAAGGTATTTGTAGCTTCAGGTACAAAATGGAGTCTGACGGAGGTCCATTTAGGGTACATTAAAAGAATCAAATTAATTGTATTTATTTATTCATTTTATATGTTTTTATTTATTTATATTTTAGAAAGGGAGGAAGGGGGAGAGAGAAACATCAATCAGCTGCCTCCTGCACGCCCCCTGCTGGGGATCGATCCCGCAACCCAGGCATGTGCCCTGACCAGGAGTAGAAAGAACCAGGACTTCTCAGTCCGTGGGACCATGTTCAGTCCATGAGCCACACCAACTGGGCAAGAACCAAATTTAATCATGAGAAAATTTGGATTATATGAAGCAGTAATTGATAATAGTTAACTATTTAAAATTTTCTCCACATATATAGCATCTAAAAAAGTATTCCTTACTCTTACCATGCCTAACACTTTTTTAAATTGAGGTAAAATGAACATAACACAGACATAACCATGTTAAAGTGTACAGTTGAATGGCATTTAGTATATTCACTGTGCTGTACCACCATCATCTCGATTTAGTTCCAAAATAGTTTCATCACTCCTGCTTGGCAATTTAAAAAGTTACATTATGATTAAAAACACAGTAGAAAATCTCCCAGTCATTGCCTGAGTTAGGCTCATAGGATGCTGGAATCAGGCGATAAATAATTCAGTTGTTAGTCCGGGTACCCAGGAGGAATTAACATCCCAGCGATGAAGCTTATAATGCAAACCACGAAGTGGCAACTTCACTGAGATGCTTTCTGCCCACAGTTTCCATGGGCGAGGTCCATCTCTTCAGACTCAGGGCACTTGCCTGCCGAGCCCGCAGTCACAGTTCACTTGTGCTGTGGGAGTCACGAGCCGGGGGCTCCGAATGGTGGTTACAGTGACAGTGGACAAAGACTTCCACACCTGTCGTGTCAGTTGTGGGATAAGGGACGTACATTGGGTGACGTGTAAGTGCAGCCGTGTTGTCTGGCACTGCTCTCTTGAACTTGTGAGGTAAGGTTATGACTGCCCCGTAACAGTGAGTGGGTGTGTGTCCCCAGCTCTCCTCGAAGCCCGGGACGTGGAACTCCACCTGCGCCCGCTGCGGAGACACCTGCAGCGCCTCCAGGCGGCGGGATTCGCGCAGGCCCGCGGGCTGATCGCCCCGCTGTTTCACACCATCTGTCTCACGTGGAGCCGCTCCGGCTTTTACAGTTCCCCCGCTCGGGCGGTGGTCCTGCTGCGAGAGTTCTGTAATCTCTTCATCGACCAGGTATGTGGCGCTCGCGTGGGAACCCCAGGGTGATGGCCAGCGACGGGGTCGATGGGGTCAGTGCAGAAGGGACGAACCCGGCGTCAGCCAGACCGCCGCTTTTCTGTTTCTTCTGCAGAAGGGACTTCTGTGGTGAAGGGCCAGGGGACTGTCTAGCCTAAACAGCAAAGGAGCTCTGGACATACGTCAAATACATTCAAAGGGCGGGTTGTTAACTGAATTTTGCTTGTTTAATAGCTGACGTTTCTTCAAAGAGATGTAAGACGACTTTTTAAAAAATACTAATTTAAAAAAAAATGACAGATGTCCCTCCTTTCTCCCCCTCTGACACCCTCCTCCCAGCTCCCACACCCGCCCCCGCCTTCATCATTGTCTGTGTCCACTGGTTATACATATATGCATATATGTTGTACTTCCAATAAAAGGCAGCTATACACCGTGCTTTGTAGCTCTTTCTTAGGTTTCCACAGGAACACTGGCTGACAGAACACTTTTAGAAAGTAAAGTAAGTTAAGAGAATCTGGCTGGAAAAAAAATTATCCTAAAAGAATAGTAGTGGATTATATTAAAGGAATTCTGATTAATTGTTGATTTTGAAAAATCTCATTTACAAATGATTCTCTACTCTTCAACTTGCAAAATGTAAAAAAAAAAAAAAAATTGGACCCTGGCTGGTTTGGCTCAGCAGTGAGAGCATCAGCCCTGGACTGAAGGGCCTAGGGTTTGATTCCAGTCAAGGGCACATACCTGGGTTGCAGGTTCGATTCCTGGCGCCAGTCGGGGTATGCGGGGGGCGGCCAATCAATGTGTCTCGTACACTGAGGTTTTTTCTTTCTCTCTCTCCCTCCTGCCTCCCTCCCTTCCTTCCACTCTCTCTAAAAAAAAATCAATGGAAAAGTGTTCTCGGATGAGGAGTAACAAAAAACAAACAAACAAAATGGGACTGTTTCTGTGTCCTTTCTGTGTCAACATTCATTCTTCTTGCGTCCATAATATCAGAGAATGCGATGTGATTTGAGAGCTAAAAGATACTTGGAGGGCATACAATGTGGTGGTTCTTGGTGTGTGTGTGTGAGTCTGCTTGACCTACCATAACAAAACACCACAGACTGGATGGCTGTATTGTAAGAGATGATTTATTCATAGTTCTGGATACTGGGAGCCCAGGCCGAGGTGCCAGCATGGTGGTGTTCTGGTGAGACCTCTCTTCCCGGCTTGCACACGCTGCCTGCTCTGTGTCCTCACGTGGTGCAAAGGGACCTTGCTCTCTCTTCCTTCTTATAAAGCTACAGTCCTATGAGATTGGGGCCCCACCCATACGACCCCATTTAATTACCTTAATGTTTTCTAAAGGCCCTGTCTCCAGATATAGTCATACTGGTGTTTAGGGCTTCAACACAGAGATTTTTGGGACACAGTTCAGTCCATAGCAGGGTGTGTTCCTAAACCACTAAGGAATTCTTGTAAAACGAATGCCAAAGAATCAGGATCTATATATATGGCTTGCCTTTGAGTTGTTAAGAAGGCTTCCCACCAGAATTGGATCTCCTCCATTCACAACTTACAAACTGGAGTTTAAAAACAACAACAAGTTCAGGTGAAACAGGAAAGTCTAAGAATGCAGTGGCTTCAGGACTAGCTTGTTCCAGGAGAATACACAATAATTCCAAAGCTTCCTGCCATGCTTCAGTTTGCCGGTATGTGTTTGACTTTATTTTCAGACCCTCACCACTTGTTAAGTGAGGTGGCTTGTGGTCACCCCAGATGTGTATCCTGGCAGTAGAGGAACTTCCCTGGAAAGAGGCTGTCTTCCTTTTTAGTTCTGGCCCAGTGGGTTTTGTTTCCATTCCTGGGACAATCATTGTGGCCAAGGAAAGGCCTGGATTACTTGCTGGAGGAGAGTGGATAACTATGATCAACTCCAAATCATGATCTAGTCTCATGCTTCCCGGTGGTTTTGCACTTCATGGCTCATATACAAAATTAAAATGTTATAAAGTAGGGTGGGGTATGTTTATTGGAAGGAATTTGGAGCCCAGAAAGTCTGTTCAGAGTCAAGACGAACAGCGTGGAGCTCCTGCTGCCCCACCACCAGTTCTAAGTGACGAAGAGGACAGTGTTGTAGGATGAATTGGTTGGGGAAATGTGTGCCAACCCAGTTCCCAATATTTCTTTTCAGATGAATTAACTGAGACCTGAAAGATAACATCATTTATCAATTTCTCCCAGAATGTAGGGGGAAATCTAGGCTGGAGAACAGTTCTCCTGACATGCAGTTGAGAGTTTCTGGACTATGACATTGAGTTAGTAATATGCTTTTTCCTCTCTCCTTCTGAGGAGGTGGAGTGATACTTGGGAAGTATATTGGACTCAGACCAGCGTGGGTGCAAATCTAATTAAATCACTAAAGGAAGTTAAGTTATTTCTTTGAGCCTCAGTTTCCACATCAGTAAGTGCAGATAATGCCTAGTCCATGAGTTATTGTGCGGATCAGTGATATAACCTAAGTGAAATGTCCAGTGTGGCAATTAATAGAGGCCCATAAAAGTTCCAAACTTTTGATCTATAGCTAGTTGAAACTATTGATAGGACATAACAGGTCAGTTCCTTTATCTTCTCTAGCTTTATTCTATTTCTGTTTCTCTGTTATGCAAACTCAGTTTTTGCTGCTGTTAAGCATGATCTCTATTGCAGGGTCAATGACTATAATCACCACTTCTCCAAAATCTTGAATCCTCCTCTTATTTCGAGATGAAGTCCTATTAGTGTATTCATTGTTGTCAGTGGCTTGTAAGAAATCCTAGTTACCTCTAAGCCTGTAAATGTATTATACCTGACCTCTAGTCTGTATTGATAGCCAGACTTTGCCAAGCTCCCAAAGAAATAATGTAGCTTCTCTTGCTCCTTGGTTACTGTTCTGACTTCTGTCCAAAGGTTCTGTTGACCTGATTTCCTTGATTCTTCAAGTGGGCTTTGTAGTAAATCTGCCCAACCTGTTAGGAATCAAAAATCAGCAATGAGCCAACTTTCATACCTGGGTTCCCTGAAGAGCTGAACTCCCCTGCCCACTCACAAATTGTTTACTGCATGATTTTATTTATTTATTTATTTATTTATTTATTTATTTATTTATATTTAACAAATATTGTATAATACCTTTTATTTACCAGTGACGCTTCTAACCCCTTTACAGAAGTTCACAAATTCAGTCCTCACAGTAACACTGACAGAGGTACTATTATATCCATTTTATATTAAACACACACACACCCACACACCACCACCAACAGCAACAACCCTGATGTCCAGAGAAGTTAAATAGCTTTCTCAAGGTCACCCAACTGTAAGCGATGGAGTTCTTAACCCACTTTGCTTTCCTCTATATTTTAAAATAAGTTTTTATTTTTAATTACAACATAATATATGGTATACTAATGATGGCAAAATATTCTCATTGCATAAAATTTATAACAATGGAAACAGTCCTACACCCTAACAGTAAGCATTTTTTATTTTTCTTTTCCAAAAAACTTACATACACACACACACACACACACACACACACACACATGCATTTTATCATACATATAATTTTCTTTTTACTAGTTTCTTGAAAAGTGATTTTGTTACCCTTGAATATTTAGATTGCTTCTAGCCTCTTCTATTGATACACAACATGCAGAAAACAACTTGATCCAAAAATCTTTTTCCTTAACTTGGATAATTGGCTAATATAAATTTTTAATTTTGATCAAAGTGTACAATCTTTTCATAGTTTAACATTTATAGATTCTTTTCTAAAAGATTATACTAATTACATTGCTATTATCAATGTACAAAAAGTTTTAACTTGCCAGCTTTGAGCATTACCATTTTTTAAAATTTTGGGTTGATTTATTGGGTATATATATTGGTACCATGTTGTTTCTTAATTTGCATGATTTGTGTGATTACACATTTTTTGTGTTTTCTATCATTGTATTTCCTTATGTTGCTTTCATGTACTTTGCTTCCATGACTCTATTGGCCTGAATCCTTGCTGTGTTATACATCAGAGGTCATAAGCTGATTATCTGTCAGCTGCATTTGACCTATAGATCTATGCAGTGTTTTTATTTTGCATAGAATTTTAAAATTAAAATTGTTGCCAATAATTAAATCAAGGAATTCTCATTTAAATTCCAGCCTCCCCTGAAAAGTCGGAGATCTCCCTAAACTGGCTCTGCCATCCCCATTAGATGATGCCCTTTTAGATGGGTCAGATGCTATCTGAGTGACCATGGTCTCCAACATTTGCTGTTGTTACTGATTTGTTTCACTCATTTTTACTGCCTACCGGATCCTCCAGACATTCCAGTGATAGTCAGAAACTGTTTGTTACTTTAGAAGCAAATGTGTTTCTCTTCTCTTGTTTCTAACAGTGACCATAACACAGTCATTTAGTCCAGACACATAAAAGACATCATCTGGCCACCTCAGATGCTAACACACTTGGGCTTTGATAATGGGTTCTTTTAAAAATGTTTCTGTGGCCAGCCAGCTCTACTGCCTGCTCACTGTGCATCACTACCTCTCTAGGCTCACCTGTCTATTCATGGCTCGGTATCACTGCTATAGGTATTGTCCTTTGTAAGGTCTTAGGTGAGGAAGAGTTTGAGAGGCCGAGACTGGATAAGAGGTCTCAGGATTGAGCAAAAATAATCCATGAAAGCACAGAGAAGAGAAGAGAAGAGAAGGGAAGGGAAGGGAAGGGAAGGGAAGGGAAGGGAAGGGAAGGGAAGGGAAGGGAAGGGAAGGGAAGGGAAGGGAAGGGAAGGGAAGGGAAGGGAAGGGAAGGGAAGGGAAGGGAAGGGAAGGGAAGGGAAGGGAAGGGAAGGGAAGGGAAGGGAAGGGAAGGGAAGGGAAGGGAAGAAGGAAGGGAAGGGAAGAGAAGAGAGAAAAGAAAGAGCTGGGAGACAGGCATCAAATGAATAATATTATTGATAAATTGCTTACTGATCATTGATTAATTGGTTAATTGATAAATACATTGGTTAGCACAATTTTAGTTTATAAGGCCTGTGAAGTGGGACCAGTTCATCCTAAATCCAGTGACTTTGGTTGGTTTGTGTTATGACCACTAAGGAAGAGAATAGAGAGCTGGTGTCGTTGGGTTTGCTCCAGAGAACTACTATAGGAAGAGAAAATAACTCAGAGCTTAAGAGCTAAAAGGGATCTTGAGAGTCACTTAATTAATCTCTCTTTTGCAGCTAAGGTAACTGCGATCCTGTGGGACAACTTAGCTAATGTTACAAAACCAGGTGAAGGTCCCTACTTGGATCATAGCCAGGTCTCCTGCCCTTGCTGATGCTGCCTCCCCGCCCCCCCCCACCCCCCTTTTTCTTTTCTATCACATACCCTGCTACCCAAAGAAAGGATACAGACTGGGATTTGCAATTGAGGATATTTAGTACTATCTATACCTTTGCCTTCGGAGATCTTATTCAGCAGTGGGTTGGTGAACAAAAAGTTAATTGCTGTGATTGTCTCCTCGCAGGAGTGAAAGTGACGATGGCTTCCCACAGGCAGGTTACTTTAGATGTCGGTAATTAGGTCCAAGGGGCTACTGAAACAAACAAGGCATTGAGGTCATCGCCGTAGATTTTTTTTGTCACTTCCTAAAAGGACACATTTATTATAAAGAATACATACAGATAAAGGTATTGGAATTCTTAGCCCATATCAAAGTGTAAACTGTTTTAAACTCACATTGCTGAGGGATTACTGGTAGTTTTCTTTCCTGTGCTGTGTGAAATGTTAGCAGCCTAATGTAGAGGTTAATATTCCATCCAGCCTGAGGGATAAGTAAGGGCATAGATTAGAAATCTACTGCCAGAACTTGAAGGATTCTAATCAGTAGGGAATTTAGACATTAAATGAATGATTTTCTTATCCCTTTATAAATTTATGGTGTGGTGTCCAAATTGCACATAAAATTGTAGCCATTAATGGGAGGAGGATAATACGTCTATATTTTTTTAAAAAATCCTTTCATCTGCTAAAGTGAACTGAGTGGCTGTTGTTATAGTTTCCATTGAGATCTCCAACTTTCTAAGCAACCACAAGATTAAAGGCACATGATTTACACCTATGTAGTAGGTCCTCAAGTAACTCATTTTGTTCAGCCTTGTTTTGTTATGTTGATGAGATGCTGGAGGAACTTAACTTGTTTTTATCAGTTAGCCTGTGGTAAACTGGTTTTGTTATACATCGTTTTTGCTGAAAGTCACAGAACCTCCCTGCCATGTTAAGCGAGGACTCACTGTAGTTTATGTGAGGTTAAAGGAAGATGCATGAGGAAGAAATAGCATACGAAAGGACTTTTAGAAACATAGATTCTCGAGGCCCTTAAAGAGAGGAATTCTGAATGTTCAGAACAAATGTAGAGAGTGAAGACCGGAAGGAACTAGGTGACGGGCCAGTGAGAGTCTGACAGTCCCTACGTGAAACCGTCTTTCTTTTTCTTTAATCCTTCTCCCCTTTCCCTCTCCTCTATTCAGAAGTAGTTCGTACGGCATAGATCAAGCATTAAGCTATAATGCTGCTTAAGCCCCCAGAAGAGAAGTTTGCTCACCTCAAAGAATTGCCAATGGTATGCCCACCCATCAGCTCTCTTTCCTCTTTGCAAATGACCTTGTGACCACATCTGTAAAATCCACCGTCTGATCGATTTTCCGTCCTGGCTTGGGGATTTCTTTCTATGAAAAAACCAATCGTGTAGAGTATTTGCTGGCAGGAATACCTATGCAAATTCTGATTACACAGTTGTTATATCCATGAAGCTGAGCAGAAATGCAGCTATTGCTAGACTGTATAAATCCAGAAATTTTAGTCGTCTGTAGATTATTCTAATGAATACAAGTGTGTCATTGAAACCCAAGTGCCTGAATTTCTAGGATTTATGCTTTGTCTCACAGTATTGATAGCCTAATTTATTCTCATTGAAAAATAATTCATTGAAAAAAATTTTGAATAAAAAAATCAAATGATTTATTGAAACACGTTTTCAGCAAAAAAACTATTGAACGTTATTTTTGATCATTGTTTCCTTTCATTAAATCCTAGGCAACAGCTTACCTTTCACCCGAAGACCTTCTGAAAGGAGAAATTGAAGACTCCCTGGAAAAGGTGCAGGTGGCCATTAACATCTTGAAGACTTTCAAAAATTCTTTCTTCAACTGCAGAAAAGGACTGGCGAACTATTTTATGGGAAACAAGGAGGTGAAACCCTGGGATTTCCAGTCTCATCTGGTGTTCTGTAGATTTGACAAATTTCTCGACCATTTCATGAAAATAGAGGTACTCATTCATTGACTTGTAATTTATTCATGTTGTAGGTGGCTTCAAAATCCCATAGCTTTTTACATGATTTTGGAACAATTTATTTGGCTCAGTGGTTAGAGTGTCGGCCCAAGGACTGAAGGGTCATGGGTTTGATCCCCGGGCAGGGTCATGAGGGAGGCAGGCAATTGATATGTCTCTCTCACATTCATGTTTCTCTCTCTCTCCCCTTTCCTCCCGTCTACTCTATGAAAAAAAAATTAATCTTCAGGTAAGGATTAACAACAACAAAAAAAATTAAATTAAAAGAACATGAAAACACGTACTGTATAAATGTTTTATTTATTTATTTTTATTTTAAACTTATCTTTATTGTTGAATACATTATAGATGTCCAGTCTTTTTCCCTTATTGACCCCCTCCTCCCCACTCCTCCCCACCTCCTGCCTTTCCCACGCTATTGTCTGTGTCCATTGGTTATGCATATAGGTTCTTAGGTTTATCTCTTCCTGCCCCCCATTCCCTCTTCCTTTTGAGGTCTGTCAGTCTAACGCCCAATTTGTAACTCTTAATCACTTCACCTTTTTCACCCATTCCCCCAAACTCCCTTCCATCTGGCAACCAACAAAATGTTCTCTGTATCTATGAATCTGTTTCTGTTCTGCTTGTTGATTTTGTTTGTAGATTCAATTGTTGACAGATATGTATTTATTGCCATTTTATTGTTCATATTTTTTATCTTCTTTTTCATATAATGCTGTTTTGGTGGTGATGAACTCCTTTAGCTTTTTCTTGTCTTGGAAACTCTTTATATGTCCATCGATTCTAAATGATAGTTTTGCAGGAGAGAGTATTTCTTGCCACTCCCTTCTGGCCTGCAAAGTTTCTTTTGAGAAATCAGCTGACAGTCTTATGGGAGTGCCCTTATAGGTAACTAACTGCTTTTCTCTTGCTGCTTTTAAGATTCTCTCTTTGTCTTTAACCTTTGGCATTTTGATAATGATGTGTCTTGGTGTGGAACTCTTTGGATTCATCTTGTTTGGAACTCTCTGTGCTTCCTGGACTTGTACGCCTCTTTCCTTCAAGTTAGGGAAGTTTTTTGCCATTATTTTATCAAATAGCTTTTCAGTTTCTTGCCCCTCTTCTCTTTCTGGCACCATGATGCAAATGTTGGTACACTTGAAGTTGTCCCAGAGGCTCCTTATACTATCCTCATATTTTTGGATTCTTTTTTTCTTTTTGCTATTCTGATTGGGTGTTTTTTTGCTTCCTTATATTGCAAATTGATGGTTTGCTTCTTGGCTTCACCTAGTCTAGTATTGATTCTCTGTGAATTATTCTCTTTTTTGGTGTGTGAATAGATATTTTATTTATTTATTTTTATTGTTGAAAGTATTACAGATATCCCCCCCCTTTTTTCCCCATTGGCCCCCTATAAATTATTCTTTATTTCAGTTAACGCCTCCTTTTCTGACTCTGCATCCTTCATTTCTGACTGGTCCTTTTTCAGTTCATTGAGTATCCTTTTAATCAGTGTTTTGAACTCTGCATCTGTTAGATTGCTTATCTCCATTTCATTTAGTTCTTTTCATGGAGGTTTGTTCTGTTCTTTCATTTGGGACATATTTCTTTGTCTCCTCATTCTGACCACCTCCCTGTGTTTATTTCTATGTATTAGGTCGAGTTGCTATGTCTCCTAGGCTTCCTAGGGTGGCCTACTGTAGTAGGCATCCTGTAGGGTCCAGTGGCATAACCTCCTTGATCACCCCAGCTAGGCCCTTGAGGTGTACCCCTCGATCCTTGGGGAGGACCTTCCCAGCTGAGGTATCCCTCCTAAATTTTATCTGCCACGTGTGGGTGTGGGACCAGCCTGTCTGCTCCTCCACCCCTCTTACCAGTCTTGATGTGACTGTTTCTTTAATTTCATAGTTGTAGGACTTCCATTCAGCTCGATTTCAGGGGGTTTTGAATGATGATTTTTCTATAGTTTAGTTGTAATTTTGATGTGGTTGTGGGAGGACACAAGTACTGCATTTTCCTACACTGCCATCTTGACCAGAAGTCCAGGTTCTGTATAAATGTTTAAATAACTAAAAACCAAAATAAAATGAATACACACATTTGTACACACATTCACACATCTGTCGTATGGAGCCAGCTGGCTAAGGTTTTTTTAAAGTTTGAACTAGTGGTACTACCTTATTTGTAAAGCTCTTTCTAACAAGTTTGGGCTTTTTTGTTGATATAAGATTTGTTGAATTTCAGTGAAAATTAAAGCTTCAGTCCGGCCCGTGTGGCTCAGTGGTTGAGCATCGACCCACGCACCAAGAGGTCACTGGTTTGATTCCCAGTCAGGGCACATGCCCAGGTTATGGTCTCTATCCCCAGTGGGGCCGATCGATGTTCTCTCTCATCGATGTTTCTATTTCTCTCTCCCTCTCCTTCCTCTTTCTCTAAAAGCAATAAAGATAAAATAAATTAAAATACATTAAAAACATTTTTAAAAAGCTTCATGTTTTGAAAATTTTATTATCACTTAATTAGCCTGAATGCCTCTTACTGTGTGAATGCTAAATGCCTAACTACAGGCAACTTGAATCACGCTTTCTTTCATCATATTCTCTCAAGCCGATTCATTGCAAAGGGGGTAGCTGAAAAGTATGAGCTTTAGGTATTACCTGGGGATCTGATCTATTATTAGAAGGATATAAAATTAGAGGGTCATATGTTTAACCATGGTTGGTTAGGTTTGCCTGTGCTGCTAGATAATTTTTAATAAATATGAAAATGAGAGTATGATTTTATGGAATACTATGCAGCTGTAAAAACAGAAGGACTTCTGCCCTGGCCGGTTTGGATCAGTGGTTAGAGTGTTGGCCTGTAGTCCAGAGAGACCCAGGTTCAGTTCCCGCTAAGGGCACGTATCTCAGTTGCAGTTTGTCCCCGGCCCTGGTTGGGTCATGCTGGTGGCAGCCACTCGATGTGTCCCTTTCAGGTCGATGTTTCTCTCTCTCTCTCTTCCTCACTCTCCCTCCCACTCTGTCTGAAGAAAATGGAAAAATGTCCTCGGGTGAGGATAAAAACAAACAAACAAAACATAAGGACTTCTTACCCTTTGAGACAGCATGGTGGGACCTGGAGAGTATTACTCTAAGCAAGATAAGTCAGTCAGAGAAAAACAAGTATCACATGATCTCACTTATATGTGGAATCTAATGAACATCGTAAACTGATGAATAAAATAGATCCAGAGACATGGAAACAGGGAACAGACTGACGAATCTCAAAGGGAATTGGGGGTTCAGGGGGGCAGGAAGAGACTAACCAAAGATCTTATATGCATATATACTTGTACACAGACAATAGGGCAGCGAAGGGAGTATGATTTAAAAAATTAGCAGTGACTTTGTTCAACTTAAATCATTACTATTTATCTTCTGTCATGTCAGTGTCCATTAACTCAGATTTCAAATGTTTGAAAATGTTATTTCTTTGAAACCATAAAAAAATTTTATTTTTCTGCTCAGGGTGATGGAAAGATTTTCACTGTTCTGTGTTTTTTCAAAGGATATATTTGTCACCATATTGGAATTTGAAAAGCTGGAGAGACTTGAATTTGGTGGTACCAAGGGAGCAATTTTAAATGGACAAATCTACAAGATGAATGAAGAATTTACGGAACTCTGTAAAATGTTTAAACAGAGCACTTATGACCCTTCTGATTACAGTAACATGGTAATATTGTACCTTTGCACTTTTATTCCACAGAATCCTATAATTTTAAAGTTTGAAACGATAGTAGGTCACAGTGATAATAGTCCAGACTCTTTAGGATGAAAGAGGCTGAAGGACTTGCCTGGAGTCTCCTTAGTGACAGACCGGGGACCAGAACGTAGCCCTTTGTGTTTTCAGTGTAGAAGTTTCTAACATAACAGTGGACCTCAGTCTGGGCTTGTTTCTTGATGTATATTTTAAAGGACCTTCCACACTAACTCATTTTGATCTGATCATCTGTTGTCCATGTAACTTGTGTGTTTTAGCCTTTTCCTGATACACGAGATAATTTTTTGGTCTATTTGAACATTTAATTTCACCCCATTCGCTACTTATATCATCAACATGAGTGTTGTTTCTCATATTTTTCACTCTTATGTTTAGAGCCATTGATAATTTAATATTTTCCACCTCAGGAGATGGGAGGAAGCTTTCAGATTCAAGTAGCTTCTGTTTTCTGTCACTTCCGCCTTAGGTAGCCAGGGAGTTACCTGTGAGCACTCCTGCAGCTGGAGGATAGAAATAGCCTCGTTTTAGTGGTTCGCCAAGAACAGTGCAGCCTGGGTAAAAAAGAAAAATTAGCTCTCATCCTTACTGTCTTATAAGGAATGTGAATTTATTCATGATCGTTTATATGTGGCCGAATCATCTTGAAAGTACACATGCAGTATGTCAGCCTTGTAAGGACATGGTCAGCAGACTTTATCCCTCTAACTGGAGTCAGCTTTTGGGAAGTGGAGTTAATGGTAGGAGGATACTGCCATGTGTGTCCCTGCTAAACTGTGCGTACTGTAGGAGGATCCGAGGACTGTGGTGATGATAGCTAGAGCCTGGTCAGACTTCTGGCCCTGGGCAGCTGCTCAGTGATGTGGGTGGGATGGGACGCTCTGGGAAGCCTTGGCTTAGCTGTCCCGAGCAACTGAGCGGAGGAGTGTGACCCAGTGTGCACAGGACAGTCTGGTTTCCTCATGATGACGGACCCTGGCAGGTTTTCAGTGCTCCGGCGTCAGAGAGAGCGGCTGGGTTTAGCTGATGTCGCTCCCTTGGCAGCACCAAAGGTTCTGAATTTATCCCCATGCCTGCCCAAGGCCTGCACAGTCACAGACATGTAGGAATAGAGAATTCATTTGCTCTGCTTGGGTTTATATTTTGGTATTTCACATTTTGGAGCTCCATGTACCTTGCAAATTAAATGGGCAAACTTATCTCCAGCTCTGGGTTGGAGACATCAGTAACCTGTCCTTGAAGTTCTCCATCATCCTCTTATGTGATTATCTTCCTCAAGATAGAATGTAGAAGTGCCCTCACTTTGGCCATTCCTTGAAATCAAAGTGGAATGAACTGAAAGTTCACTTAATTGGTAAACTTATGTTGAAGAAGAACTTTGCATTTTTGGTATGTGCCCCTAGCGGGAACCGAACCCGGGACTCTCTGGTCCGCAGGCCACCGCTCCAACCGCTGAGCCAAACCGGCCAGGGCGAACTCTGCATTTTTTAATGTATCCTAGTTATCAATGTGGCCTCAGAATATTGCAGTGATTATATATGTTTTTGCTAATAAGCTGTTCATTTTGGTGCTTTTTAGCTGAATTCATTGTTCTCTGATTTTTAAGATAAAATCAGTTGGTAATTTTTATGAGACACCATTTTAGCAAACTACTTCTAACATAGTACATTTATACAGTTATATGGACATGACTCATGCCTCCCCCTCCCACTGCATTCACCCCCACTCCCTGCCCCCACTGACCAGACGCCAGTGCTGACAGAGCCCTTGAGTGTATCATGATCAGTCTTCCTGCACTTCAGCATAGAAATGGTTTAAGTATGTTCCAGTAAATTAAAGAAATAATCCCCAGTAATTTGCTTTTAGAGATGCTGTTATTTCTCTCTTTTCATCCATCTCAAGCCTATTAATCAGGCTTTCAGCCTTTATTGACGTGGCAAAGGTCTGCCACTATAGTCCATTTACAGAGCATGGGTTTTCTCAGGTCTACCCACTGAATGTTTTGGGGCTTCTCGGTTATTCAGTGTAAAGCTCACTTTCGGTATTTTCGTTGGCTTCATCCTGCAGGACTGTGTGAGATCTGGACAGTATGGGCAGAGACTTGCTTTCTTATTTATTTTTTAAATGAAAATATATTTGACATATAACACTGTGCACCTTTAAGGTGTACATACCATGTTAATTTGATACATTTATATATTGTATTATGATTGCGATAATTAGCACCTCTGTCATGTTACATTATTACCCTTTTTTTAGTTGTTGGAATCATTACGTTCTAGTCCTTTAGCAAGTTTGATATTAGTGGTTATGGACAACGACTTTGCATTGTGATATCAGACTTACTAAGAGACTTGCTTTAATCATTGAATTTTAACAGCTTGTCAGGTGACTTGAAGGTCAGCAGCTTTGCTGACATTCTGAGGCGTCACTTGATTAAATAAGTCTCCAGATAACTAAGCAACGATGGTAGCTGTTCTTCTTAAGGATAACCCCTTGGCTTCACCTAGTCTCTGTTCATTAGAGTCCATGAATACTTACTGGGCAGGTGCAGAGAGCCAGACATGCGCCGAACCTTCACACGCCTTCCTGTGTAACTCTCACAGCAACCCTGAGCACGACCGCCCAGGGAGACGAGGCTAAGCCAATTACCCGAGAATACACAGTTAACCAGAGCACGAAACAGATTTCTTCACAGGACTCGTAACCCCAAACGCAGCTCTTTCTGCTGTGGCACCCAACTCTTTAGTGTTTATCTCCCTCGCTGCACCTTCACAGACGAAAGGAACAAGATCATCTGGGGCGGTTGGAGGAGCTCACCTGAGGACCTGGGCCCGGGCTGGACTGGTTCAAGAGGCTGTGTCTCTTCCTTTTCCCTGTTAGTTTTTAGTAGAAAGGTACCTAGCCTGCTGTTATATAGAATCTGAAATACATTTTAAAAGTAGTTATTGAGTTAATCCACAGTAGGTTGTATTCCATTTTCTATCATTAGTCCTCTGTTCTATCTGTTAAACTATTAATTCTGTTGCTTTTACTATATGTAGCATTTTCTAATTTTAGCTATATAAATTTCTTAGGATTTTCATATTTTGCCTGCTTATTTTTCAAGATAAAATTTCTTCTTCTTCTTCTTCTTCTTCTTCTTATTATTATTATTATTATTAATCCTCACCAAGGATATTTTTTCATTTATTTTCAGACAGAGTAGGAGGAAGGAAGGAAGAGAGAGAGGGAAGGAGAGAGGGAAGAGAGAGAGAGAGAGAGAGAGAGAACATCAGTGTGAGAGAGACACATCAATTGGTTGCTTCCTGCACGACCCTGACCAGTGCTGGGGACTGAACCACAACCGAGGTACATGCCTCCCTCAGCCCGTCTTGGCATCGCTAGGGTCCGAGCTTCACACAGCAGCTGGGGTGCGTGCCTTTTAGGAGCTAAGTCCTACCACAGGGCTTCTCTAGCTGCGACTCATTATTAACTCCCCACGTCACTAAAAGGGGCAGCTTTGCAGTTCCGAATACAGAAAACCTTTACGATGATTCTTGAGTAATACCAGCATATCGTTTATTCTTTATTAAATATGTATTCAGAACAGCTATGTACTGAGAACCTCTTTAACTATCGGCCCTGTACTTGTGGAAGTAAATGAACCGGGCCTTACACTCAGTCCAGGCCAGAATACAGGTGGCAGCGTGCAGGGGGCTTGAGGGCGTCTGTGACGGGCCCGTTCCCTGCGCAGGTGAAGAGGAAATAGAGAATAAAGATGAATGGCACTGAAAGTACCAGACATGAACCGGTGAAGGGCGCACGAAGGGAAAGGGGCTGGCGGAAACTGGCGCAGGGAGGGAAGTGCTGAGGTCCTGGAGTGGGACAGGGGAGGAGCGGCAACAGCTGTGTAATGGGGACCGACGACAAGGGCTGGCCTTGTGGGGCCGGGAAGACTTTGAGACGTGATCTTAAGAAATGGAGGCTTCCGAATTAAGATTATGAATCGGAAGATCATGACTGGAAGAGTGACATGGTCAGGGTTGTCGTTTAGAAAGCTTGTGTCGAGGGTGGTGGGGAGAATGGTTCGCTGAGACCAGGCTAGAGGCAGAGAAGGTGACTAGAAGTGGTCAGCCGGAACCGGATGAGTGGGCCCTGTGACCTGGACCAGGGCGATGCCCAGAGACGGGAGGACAGTGCAGGGGATTCAAGAGGTGGTTGAGAGAAGAGACGGGTGGTGCCTGAGCAAGAGAGAAAGTCAGATCGCTGACATTTCTGTCCAGGTGCATGAAAAAGAGGAGCCGCTTTATGGAGAAGTGAATGAGTTTAGCGCTATGCAACGGGAGTGAGTGATCTGTGGGGCTTCCTGGGGGAAGGGGCCACGGGCAGCCTGCCTTCGGGTTGAGTCAGGGAGAGAAAGGAGCTGGGGAGGGGGGGCAGAGAGAGATCCAGGTTGGAGATTAGCCTTATTCCCTTCCTGAGATAGTACTTATTTATTAAGTGTCCAAACCATGTTTGGGTATCTTCAGTTGTTTGTTCCTCGTTGCCATACCGAGAAGACGGGTAAGTTAGGCTTGTTACAGCTTGTTGGGGAGGCGTGTTTACTTTTCAAAGTCAGTGACCCTTGAATGAAGAGACGGCTTGGCTGTGGTTCAGGAGAACTGGAGACCTCCTCGTGCCCAGTGTAACGCCGCGGCCTATGCCAAAGGTGCCCTGGATCCTGCCCCACACTCAGCCTGCAGCGTGGGTTCCAGTCACATAAGGCGCATTTTTTCATAGAAAAATCGTGGTTGGAGTGTGGGCTTTGGAGCCAGGTTGCCAGGCTCTCAATTCTGGTCCTGCCATCTACCAGGGAGTGGTGTGACTGGGGGCAAACTATGGAACTCCCCTGGGTTTGTGTTGTTGCCTATGAAATGGAAAAAAATATTACCACGTCATATGTTGTGAGAACTGAGTTAATAGGGTAAAGTATCTAGAACAGAACATCGAATAAATGTGAGCTGTCGTGGTTGTGATGTCTGCTTGGGGAGGGGATGGCGGATGAGTGCGGGGAGGTAGCAGAGGGCTTCGGCGTGTTGGACGTGGGCGTCCCTCGGGCAGCTTGGCTGAAAGCCAGTAGTGTGTCTGACTCCTGGGCTTCTTCCCTGAACTCTTTCATGCTAATTATGAGGTGGGCGGTTGTGTATAATGAGGAAATGGGGTATTAGCAGCATAGTCATGAGACTCTGGGAAATGGGGGTATTTTGTTTCATCTTTATCACTGAGGATGCTTTGGGACAGACCTGGGACTTCAGTTCTCACCTGAAGATATAATTTTTCCTGGTAGGTTTTCTGCTCCATGAAAAACAAAACAAGCCCTGGCCGGTTTTGCTCAGCGGTTAGAGCATCGGCCTGTGGTCCAGAGAGACCCGGGTTCAGTTCCCGCTAAGGGCACATACCTCGGTTGTAGTTTGTCCCCGGCCCCGGGACGTGCGGGTGGCAGCCACTCGATGTGTCCCTTTCACATCGATGTTTCTCTCTCTCTCTCTCCCTCCCACTCTATCTGAACAACAACAAAAAAAGAAAAACAAAAGAACTTCCTATGTAAACATAGAGATATACTGACGTTACAATGAGAACGAGCTGGTTTTTTTTTTCCTTTTATGAAAGCTTTGCTTTTCATCTGTAATCCAAATGGATTGGGAGGAGGACGGCTGGTGGGTCGGAGCACTGACGGCGGGTCGAGCTGGGGAAAGATGGGCTGGCTGCGACATGTCGGTGTCCTGTGGGCCACTGGGGCAGCTGGGCGGAGGGAGGTCCTTCTGCATCCCGCAGTCCTGCTGTGCAGAAGGAGCCCCCGAGAAAGAGGGAGCCGGAGGGAGGCGGGCGTGCCGGTGTGATTGCTGTTTCCACTACTGCCCTCCTTCGTGTAAACTGATCCTTTGCTTTGATACTTACAGGAATTTGAAAGAGATTATGGCGTGTTTAAGTCCAAAGCTTTGGATTTTGAGAGAAGGCTTGGGGCAATTCTTTGCGAAGCTTTCTTTGACTGCAATGGTTTGGAAGCTGCATTCAAGGTGGGTTCCTAAGAAGCCGTCGTGGTGATTTACTCAAAACTGATTCAGACTGTGAGACGAAAGGATAGATGTGTTCCTTTCTGATCCAGGAAAACTGTTAACTGGTCACAGTCTCTTCATGTTCGGCTCCCTGAATTATAAACTTTAATTATAGATGTGTTCCTTTCTGATCCAGGTAAACTGTTAACTGGTCAGAGTCTCTTCATGTTCGGCTCCCTGAATTATAAACTTTAATTATGCACGAGGGAGTCGTGAAGTTTACTGTGGACCCGGCCAGGACATTTCACTGTTGATTTTTTCTTGCATTCAGTGTCTTAGGTCAAAACACGGGTCGAGCGGGTTTGGCGTGGCCTAGGCAGGAACTGACCTGGGATTAGGCCGCAGTGAAAAGTGAAAGATATCTGCTAATTCATGAATTTCTTTTCTTCACCATTGTTTACATATGTTGGCTTCACCTGCCTACTTTATCACTCAGACTAAAATAAATAGCAATGTATGTACTGCCTTTCATCGGGTCTAAGATACCCTTCCCCATCAGACACGTGACGATTTTGTGTCAATAAAGAAAAATGTCAAAACATCATGCCATTGATTATAGAACACAGTCTAGTTTCAGAGATGTTAAAACATGAAAGCATGTTAGTGATGGAATTGATGAAATATGGTGTTTATGTATTATGAGTTGCATAAAAGAAAAGCATCTTGATGGTCCTCCCGAAGGGAAAGTAAGGTAGGGAACAGGGACATCCTGTGAAACTTGCTTGTCAAAGAGGAGAATTGCAGGCCAAGTACAAATTCAGACGACGTCGCAAAAGAGGTTCAGTACTAGGAGAAACATGGCCAGAGAACCATGGGCACATTTTGCTGACAATGGTGACGCTGAACTCTGTAATAGACACAGTCGTAGTGTGAGATTTATTTGATTTTGATCTTCAAGTTCAGATGAATTGGTCAGATGGTGGTTAAGCCTCGATGTCATCTAGCCCCATTCAAGCATTTTAACACAGGATTCATAGGGATCAAATAGTTCTTTGTTTTTTCAGAGCTCTGAATGACACTGAGATGCCACCGGCCAAAATATACAGCCTGTCGTTATACGATAAACCCCCCTGTAATCCCATCTCCGAGAAAAACTATCATATTTAATACCGCCACACTTTTTCTCGGACTAGATATGCATACATATTTCTCTTTGACAAAAAGACATCCTATGCTGATCCCCCTTGGTAACCTTTTCCACTTAGCAATGAATCATAAACATTGTCTCACTTTTATAACCGAATCCAGCAATATTTTTTTATTAATGGCTACAGAGTAGTCTGTCACATTCTCTATGACTGGAGCTCCTTATCTGTGTGTGTGTAGTAACTGGAAGAAAGATGTCAAGTGAAGTCTCAATTCCAAAGGCTCCTACCTTTCCCAATTCAAGTCTTTCTTTTCCCCTTCTCACAACCATTAATGTGGATTCTGTTCTGGTACATGCCGACTGTTTTTTTCTAAACAACGTGATCTTATTGCCATGTATTTTTCTTTTCTTTTTTTTTTTTTTAATCCTCACCCGAGGATATTTTTCCATTTTTTGTACAGATAGAGTGGGAGGGAGAGAGAGAGAGAGAGAAACATCGACGTGAAGGGACACATCGAGTGGCTGCCACCTGCACGACCAACCAGGGCCGGGGACAAACTGCAACCGAAGTACATGCCCTTAGCGGGAACCGAACCCGGGTCTCTCTGGACCGCAGGCCGACGCTCTAACCGCTGAGCCAAACTGGCCAGGGCGCCATGTATTTTTCTTTAACTCTGCACTACGTGTGCCCTGACCACTGAGACGCAGAAGCTGAGCGCCTGCTCCCCCCTCCCCCCGCTCTGCAGGGCGGGGCTCCTCTCACAGTCTGTGCCGTATTTGGAACACCTGCGATGCCTTGTAGAGCCGACACTGAGCAGCTGATTGGAGTGAGGTCACTGATGGGTAGTCGGAGTCCTGAAATGACACACTGATGGGGGAACTGCAGGGAGAGAAGAAGGGGAAAGTGATAGGAGTGTGTATTTGGGGAAAAGACTGTTTCTGCCATAGGTGAGGGGTGATGGACTCTGACCATGGACTTTGTGTCCCAGGGAGTCAGTACTTATAGATCCATCTTTGAAGACCACGATTCAGTGCCTGCTCTTGGCAAAGACAGGGCCAGGAGGGCCCTGGAACCAATCGCAAGTCTATCCCAGTATAAAATTGTAGTTCAAAGTTGACGGTGTTGGTACTGACCAAAAAAACAAAACAAAATACTCATGGGTGTTTCTCTCCAATTTACAGTGTATGTGCATGACAGTAGACTAAAATGTGTAAGAAAACAAAGGTGTCTGGAAAAATGTTCACACAATATAATTGAAAACTATATCATTGTGAAGTGTCTATGGTTCAGGCAGCAATAGATGACAACATGAAGTGTCTATGGTTCAGGCAGCAATAGATGACAACAATCTCTGTGAGAGGCAAAGCTAGGAAAATATAAGTATGTACCACGTGACACACATTAGGAAAGCCATATAACATAATGAAACTAACAAGCAGAGGGAGCCCTGGCCGATGTGGCTGAGTTGGTTGGACATCAGCCTGTGCACCGGATGCTCGCCTGTTGGATTCCCAGGCATGGCACACACCCAGGTTGTAGGTTCAGTCCCTGGTGGTGGTGCCTACAGGATGCAACCAATTAATGTTTCTCTCTCACATCAGTGTTTCTCTCTCTCACCCTCTCCCTTCTTCTCTCTCTCAAATCAATAAAAACATATTTTAAAAAAGAAGTAGAAGAAGGAGCCCTGGCCGGTTTGGCTCAGCGGTTGGAGCATCGGCCTGCGGTCCGGAGAGACCCGGGTTCGGTTCCCGCTAAGGGCATGTGCCTCGGTTGCAGTTTGTCCTCGGCCCTGGTCGGTCGTGCGGGTGGCAGCCACTCGATGTGTCCCTTTCACATCGATGTTTCTCTCTCTCTCTCTGTTCCTCTCTCTCCCTCCCACTCTACCTGAACAAAAAAATGGAAAAATGTCCTCGGGTGAGGATAAAAAAAAAAAAAAAGAAGTAGAAGAAGGAAATTGCAGAACTCCATTGGAGTATTTAGGGAAAGAAGCATAGAGTAGGGGTCCATCCTTAATTTCCTGAGGTGGATATGAAGGCAACCATCTGTACTCTTCATGAAATAGCTCTTAGTTCCACAGACAAGGAAGCAAGAGGCTTAAATGACCTTTATTCTCACCCTGGAGGGCAATTATTATGTATTGCAATGTTGAAAAATTATAATGTCTACTGCCTAAAAGGTTGATTCTTCTTCTTCTTTTTTTTTTTTTTACTACTACTCTGACTTTAACCCTCCCCAAAGAATATTCTCTCTGTCTTTTCTCTTTCATACTTGGAGTGAAGTCTCACTTAGCAAATCAGGTAGGCGAGGTGGTGGAAAGCAAATGTTGTAAGCTATTTCCCTCCTGTGGTTAGAGTGTGTTTCTCTGTTAAATCTATCAGGCGGTGTTTACTTTCGAATTGAAACATGAAGTCCCAACTCAACAAAACAGTGGTTGTGAGGAGAACGTTAGTAATTTACCTTTTGCTAGGCAGCAGCTAACCAAGCAGATTTTAAAATATTTAGTGGTTTCTATAGTAGTCATAATTAGCCTGATCAGGAAAAAAGTCAGAACGTGTTTGTCTAAACTGGCCTCCAAGACGCGGTTAAATTTACATTGTAGTTTGTTTACTTTTTCGTTGTGTTGGTTTCTAAATTTTTTTCAGTGAATATAGTTTATGGAAATGTTTACAAAATGTTAAATGAGTACAATGAAGCTGTGTTGGAAAATACCTCTTTTGTCACATGACTAACATGGCACAAGCTTTGGTATTGGACAGTTTACTGCCACATTGATTGTCACTTATTTTGAGAAGATATCTTTTTTGATTTCAAAGGAAACATCTACACAACAGGCCTAAGAAGTAACATTTTATGAAGCCTATGCAGAGTAAGCAAATAATAAAATAACGGTTTTGCACGTCGCCTTGGCTGGTGCGAGGCCGTCCAGGGAAGGGCGGGCCCTGGTGCAGGCCGTCCGCGGTCGAGGCCGCCTCTCCCAGCGCCCTGTGAATTTGGGCAACTTACTGCTCCCGGGTAACTGGTTTCTTGAAATGGAGCGTGTGGCAATAGCAGTTGTAAAGCCCCTTTAAAATGTAGGGCCCGGCATGCTGTCAACACTGTGTAAACATTACTCATACAGAAATCACGTATTTTAATTGTTTGGCTTGTAAAGAAAGCGGTCGCCTGCTGGCACACAGAGGGGTCCGTGTGGGGCAGAGAAGGGGACAGGAGGCCAGTGGGAACCTGGGCTTGGGCTCACCAGGCAGGCTAGTGGAATGGTGGTGAAGGTTAGTTTGGATCCAGGGGGCTCCGTGGACTGAGCAAGGGGAGTTTGAGGACCTTTACCCTCTGCTGCCTGGTAACGGTCCTGTTTCAGGCCACACGCCTGCTTTTTGCTGCCTCCCTCGTCATGGGCTTCCCCTGCTTGCCAGGAGTTTCTGTTCATTCACAGTTTTGCCAGCATAGGTTCAGCCTGCCATGCCTGGCTCCCTTTCTGAGAGAGAATCTAATTAGCTCGAGGCGTTAGTTTAGAGAGGACATTCACGTCGAAGGAACTGTCTGTCCGTAGAGGATTTGTCCTTGGAGCAGGTCACCGCTGCCCCAGGCCTCTGTGTCGGGTGGCTGGGTGGTGTGGGCCATGGGCTGCCACCGGCAGGGTGGTCTCTGTAGCTGATGCTTCCGGCATGATTAGTAATGCTGTGACCTAGAAGTCCTTGATATGACTATTCTATGTCTAAATAATACACGTGTCCTGGCTGGTGTGGCTCAGTTGGTGGGCGTCGTCCTGGGCACTGAAAGGTTGCGGGTTCGATTCCTAGTCAGGACACAGGTTGCAGGCTGCAGCCCTGGTAGGGGCATCTGATTGACTTTTCTGTCTCCCTCTCCCCTCCTCTCTCAATAAAAATCAATAAACTGTTCTTAAAAAAAAAAAAAATACATGTGTAGGAGGGAAGAACAGACACAGAGTACCTATAAATCCTTTTTTTGTTTTTGAATCCTCACCTGAGGATATGTTTATTGATTTTAGAGAGAGAGGAAGAGAGAGAGAAACATCAATGGATTGTCTCCCATATGAGCCCCAAGCAGGGATCAAACCGGAAACCTTTTTGGTGTATGGGACGATTCTCTGAACAACTGAGCCGCCTGGCCAGGGCCAGGCTCAGATTTGAAGATGTTGCAGGATACACGTAGGGTTCTGTATGTTTGCTTCATCTCTAGTCACGTAAGACATTTAATGGGAGAAATGGTGAGCTGAGTATTTGTATTAACCCATGGTTCTTAACCTTTCTTTAATTTTGATTTTTATAGCTTTTGACCATATTTGGGAATTTTCTAGAGAAACCAGTTGTCATGGAAATTTTCAGCCCCCATTACAGCACCCTGGTGCGCATGTTTAATGCCGAGTTGGACATGTGTAAGCAGTTGTACAACGAACACATGAGACAGGTGAGTGAGGGGTGACGCTGAGCACATCCACAGCGTCGTCTTCCTGGGTAAGGGCCATCTGCCAGGACTTTATTTAATGATATCTCTTATTTAATGTTATCTCTGCTTCGATTCTATGTTGACTTTCTTATGGAGATGAAGAACCACGACTCTTCTGCTAATCAAGTCACTTAACACACATATTGTATAGATTTGTCCTATAAAAGTACCACGGAGAACAAGTGCGTACAAGGTTGGAATGCACTGATTAAATGTTCCCTTTCTTCCTTTTCACCAAAATAACAATTTGCAGATTGAATGTGGAAATGTGGTTCTTAACAAGAACATGCCGTTTGCCTCGGGAAACATCAAGTGGGCCGAAGAGATCTTGGAACGACTTCAGACGTTCTGGTCAAGCTTTGCGTCCCTCCGGCACCTGTGAGTGGTCAGGCCTCTTTCCTGGTCAGCTTATCCTCATGGTGTGGCTGATTTTATACAGGGCAAGAGCTGTTCATTGTAGTGCTTAAGGAGTCATTTCCCGCCCTGGCCGGTTTGGCTCAGCGGTTAGAGCGTCGGCCTGCGGACCAAAGAGTCACAGGTTCGATTCTGGTCAAGGGCACGTACCTTGGTTGCAGTTCATCCCCAGCCCTGGTCAGGGTTGTGGTTTCTCTCTCTCTCCTTTTCTCCCTCTCTCCCTCCCTCCCAGTCTATCTGAAGAAAAATGGAAAAATATCCTCAGGTGAAGATTAAAAATCATTTCCTTTAACTCTTTCATTGGCTGGGCTCACTGAGGGGAGGATTCATCCCAAAGGTTTTGGACTATGTTTAATATTTAACATATAATGGTAATTATGTGTTTAATATAACTTGATATATTTCCATGTTTTCAGGTCCGTGTTCTTTTTTCTTTTCACTTTTCCTTTCCACCCACGGTATGTTTGTAGTTTATTTATTTTTCTTTCTTCAAGAACTAACATTCCTCCTATTTTGCAGACCTCTGTACCTTTCTTATTTTTTTTTTTTTTTATCCTCACCCGAGGACAACTCTCCATTTTTTTGTACAGACAGAGTGGGAGGGAGAGAGAGGAAGAGAGAGAGAGGGAAACATCGATGTGGAAGGGACACATCGAGTGGCTGCCACCCGCACGACCAACCAGGGCCAGGGACAAACTGCAACCGAGGTACATGCCCTTAGCGGGAACCGAACCCGGGTCTCTCCGGACCGCAGGCCGACGCTCCAACCGCTGAGCCAAACCGGCCAGGGCCCTCTGTACCTTTCTCTTTTCCTTATAGGAATTGGTAACTTGTTGCTGTTGGCATTTAGTAAAATCTTTGGAGTTCTGTTCATTTCATAACTCTATCTTTTTTTTTTTTTTTTTTAATCCTCACCTGAGGATATATATATTTTTTCTATTTATCTTCAGACAGAGTGGGAGGGAGGGAGGGGGAGAGAGAGAAACATCAATGTGGAGGAGACACATTGCCTGATCGCCTCCTGCAAGACCGCAGCCAGGGCCAGGGATGAACCACAACCGAGGTTCGTGCCCTTGACCAGAATCGAGCCCGTGACTCTTTGGTCTGCAGGCCGATGCCCTAACCACTGAGCAACACCAGCCAGGCTCATGCCTATATCTTTTCAGGCAAAGACAATCATAGCATTATTTGGCCTTGTTTCTCTTCCTCATTTTTATAATGTATTTTATTATATTTTGTATTGTGTATTATTATAAAGTAATTAGGCTAAAACCTATCTAATCATAGAAAAGTGGAAAAACCATTTTCCTACAGATTCTCAGAGATTCCTGATGATGCCCTAGTTCACCAGAAGTACGTTGAAATGACAACTCTACTAGACCAATTTGAAAATCGTATCTATAATGAATGGAAAAATAATGTGGATGAAATCTGTGAATTCAATTTGAATCAACCCTTGGTTAAATTCAGTGCCATAAATGGTCTTCTCAGTGTCAACTTTGACCCAAAGGTAGGGGTACGATGTTTTTAAGATGCTTAGTAGATGTAATTTTTATTGTAAGTATATCCGTGATGCTTTAATTTATATTTTATTTTGTGAGAATATCAGTGCTATGAGGAATATAACAGAAAACAACTTCTGTTAGATCTTTGTTTTAGAGATTTGTTTCTCAAATTCTATATTTACTATTCTCTATTTTGCCTCATAATTATTTATTTACCACTTTTACCTTCACTTGATAATGAGTTACTTGAGAGTAGGGTACATTTTATTTTATATTTGTGTTCTGTGTTTCTAACATAATGTCTGGCACTCGGTAATACTTCATATACTTAATAAATGTTGGCTCCATTGAATGGAATCATTGGTCTTTTATTATGTTTTCTGGCTTGAATTATATTCATAGCACATATGCCAGTATTTTTAGTTAATTAAAATTTTATTGTATAAGTTAAGATTTGGGGAATCCATAGACTGTGTAGAATGAAAAAGACCTTTGGTCATGCTGTGGGTGGACAGTGGTGAATTTTGATTGTCATAATGTATATCAAAGGGACAATAAACTTGAATATGTTGGTTAAATTGATGGTAATTTCTATAAAACAACCTTCAAAAAAATATAAAATAACATGTAAATACCAAAAATAATAATGACAGGTAAATAATATCTGGGAAACTTACCCTTATTGAACAGATTCTTTGTTATCCCATGATAAACCATGTAACAGAGAAATTTTACGTTTTCTCACAATTTCATTGCATGCTATATGTAATAATAAAAGTACAGGTACCTCAATACCAATTTTATATATACATGTGTTTATATGTATAGAGTCACATATAATGGCGATATGTTAAATACAATGTATGTATTGCAAACAACCTACCTCCAGGACTGAGGACTTATAGGAGTCACAAAGGTAGCTTTCTTTTCTGTTTCCCTACATTAATGTCCTTACAGGGAAAGACAAGCGTATAAGAATAGCCATGTCTGAGTCACTGTTTCAAGAAAGACTAGTGAAACATCTGGCGGAACTTTTAGATAGTGAAGATGATATATTCATGTGTAGCTGTGGCCCTGCCCTTCACATGTTCTGAATGTGTGCCTAGGAGGGGGAAAGGTAGCCTCGGTGAGTCTGATCGTTATGATCTGTACCCAAATTCTGATCTGTTTCCCTGGAATATTACAAAGAATACCACCACTTAATTTTGTTTATAAACCTCAGCACACATACATAAATATATGACCAGAGAGCTGAGGATTCCCTCAGCTTTCTGATTTCATAAAACCAGCATGGAGAAACTAAATCCCTGAGATGTTTTAGGGATAATTCCTATGATACTACCTGAAGGGATTATAAATACACAAAATATAGATTATAAACACAAAATATATTGTACTAGTTAAGCTAGGGAGTGACAACCTAGGGAAGTCAACTGGTTTGCCTTATGAAGCATGGTGTGTGATACAGGGGTACAGCCTGTTAAGATCGCCGGATTATGAAAGACTGCACAGTTAAGCATGGTGTGTGATACAGGGGTACAGCCTGTTAAGATCGCCGGATTATGAAAGACTGCACAGTTAAGCATGGTGTGTGATACAGGGGTACAGCCTGTTAAGATCGCTGGATAATGAAAGACTGCACAGTTAAGCATGGTGTGTGATACAGGGGTACAGTCTGTTAAGATCGCCGGATTATGAAAGACTGCACAGTTAAGAGTACAGGACTTATAGTGGGGGTAAAGGGTTAGAGGTGCAGGACTCAAAACATTGTCAGTGATACAGTGAGAAAATAGTTACCTAGGGAAAACAGTAGCATAGTTTTATACATTTTAAATGGGCAAGTAATACAGAAATACTATAATAAATATGACACTTTCCCTAGACAAAGACCGGAAGTTTGCTTATGGAAGTGGGTGTTGGAAACGTTACAACTTGCACGTTGTTGTAAACCGGAAACAGGGTTGTCTGAAAGCAGGCAGGAAGTTGTACCGCTAAAATGAGGTACCCAGTGGACGTCTGAGGTGTGTCCATGAGCGTTTTGCGTATTCCTAAGCCTTTCAGCTCAGTCGGGTGCAGTGTTTAGCATTTACCTTGTGTTTCTTGCTGATGAAATTACAGATAAGTGAAGACGAAATTTGTGGTATGCTCAGATCACTCCCTAGTATATCGATCACATTGGAACAAACTTGTGTCTTCGAAACAAGCATTCTAGGTACTGGGAAAAGACCGAAGTCCACTGACAGAGTTCCACTGTCATCTTGGTGTGCATATGTCTGTCTCTGGCTTGAATTCTTTCTCTGACCGTGGGCCATAGTCCCTGATTTGTACCTTTGGTATTTATACTTCCGTGGAGTGTATGATTGTTGCTTTTAACAAGCATATGAGACAGAAGCCTCTTTACCTTGACCATTTGAAAATATAGTAATTATTGCCCCTGGCTGGTTTAGCTCAGTGGTTAGAGCATCAGCCTGCGGTCCAGAGAGACCAGGGTTCGGTTCCCGCTAAGGACACGTATCTTGGTTGCAGTTTGTCCCTGACCCTGGTTGGGTTGTGTGGGTGGCAACCGCTCAATGTGTCCCTTTCACGTCGATGTTTCTCTCTCTCTCTCTCCCTCCTACTCTATCTGAACAAAGAACGGAAGAATGTCCTCGGGTGAGGATAAAAAGAAAAAAAAAAAAGAAAGAAAATATAGTAATTATTGGATGAAAACTGAAGTGTTTTGATTTTAACTTGTGCTAAAAATAGAATGATATGCAATAAACATCGATTGTCTTTCGATAGCTAGTGGCTGTCTTGAGGGAAGTGAAATACCTCTTGATGTTGAAGAAGTCAGACATACCGGATTCAGCTTTAGCCCTCTTCAAAAAGAGAGACACTATTTTAAAGGTTTGTGTTCGTATATATGGGGGCATATTTTGAACAGTAACGTTTTGAATTTTAATGATTAACACGGAGACCTGTGGTAGTTTTATGCATCGCAGGTGGACAAAGTAGCTTTAACATCCTTGGGTTTCCGTTGCTCAGTACACAGGACATCTTGAACTTCTTGTGCAAGCCTATAATAAGCTGAAACGGTCTCTCCTGGAAGTCGAATACCCTCTGGTCGAAGACGAGCTGAGGGCGGTGGATGAGCAACTGCAAGCAGCCACCACCTCGCTGACGTGGCAGGGTGACTGCTGGGGGTACATCGAGAGGGTGAGAACGGCCACCTCGGAGCTGGAGCGCAGAGTGGAGCTCACGCAGAACAACGTGCAAGCCATCCAGCACACCGTGAGGGCTTGGGCTGAGTGCACGCTGCTGCCCAGGAGGGAGCCCAGCAGGGAGCCCAGCAGGGAGCCCGCCTTCCCGCTGGAGGACAGGGCGGGTCTGTTCACCAAGAGGTACAAGCTCATCCAGGAAGACGGCTGCAAGATACACAGCCTGGTGGAGGTGATTGCTTTTAAGGTTACACACTGTACTGAAGATCTTTTCATTTCGTTTAGAAAAAGAGCAAAGACATGTAACTTAAAACCTCTTGTGTGGCCTGAAAGAGCTTTACGTATTGTTTTGTGAAGCATTTTAAGTGGAGAAATTGGCGTGACCTACCTGTAACGTCTGTAGCTCTCCCTGTTCTCGTTCCCGAGGGAAGAGATTGGAACGTGAGATAGTTGATGAAACAGAAAGGCCGCTCTGGCCGCTCCGCGTGGCCACCATTATTTGTCGGTGCCTCCGGGTCCAGCCACTTGTTGGCCACACCTCGTGGCTCTCCACCGTCTCCTAAGGAGGCCGTTATGAGAACTTTGGCTTTTACTCTGAGGGGAAATAGCTGATTTTTAGAGAGGGAGGAAGGGGGAGAGAGAGGAAGAAAGAAACATCAATGTGAGAAACATTGATTAGTTGCCTCCCATATGAACCTACCACCTACGCACGTGCCCTGACTAGGAATCGAACCTGCGACCTTCCAGTGCACAGGACGACACTCCAACCAACTGAGTCAGTCTGGCCAGTGCAGAATGGAGTTTACTGAATAAGGAGGACTGTGGTGGAGCAGATTTTGAGGGAAAAGATAAGACTAGGTTTGAGGCATGTTCGTTAGATATGCCTGCCCAGGGAGGAATTTGGGGTCAGTTGGCATTGCCAGTGGGCATCTGGGGTTCAGGGGAGAAGTTGAGGGAGTGACAGAGAATCAAGAGTCACGAGCACATACGTGATGTGGAAGCCACAGACTTGGACGAGACGGGGCAGAGACTAACTGTAGGTGGAAAAGAGGTGCATAGACTGGCCTTGAAGTGGCCGCTGAGGGACACCCCCCACCTCTTGTCAGCAAATGGTCCCGAGCCTGGTGTCCAGACTTCAGGGAGGAATGTGGTTCAGAGGAAATCCGTGAAAACGGACAGAGCGAGTCAGTTCTGCCTTTTCACGCTGCATCCTTTGGGCTTGTGGGATCTCAGTGGACAGTCTGCAGATGGCGTTGACGATGAAGAGGGAAGGGTGGAATCCTGGGAGATTGGGGGGAAGGGACCTGGGTGGTCATTCGGTGACCCACAGCTCTTCGTTCTCTTCCTTTCTCTCTCTGCTCTGAATTGTCGAAATCAGAACAGAGCACTTTTTCTAAATGCCAATGCAGAGATACAAATCGGATCTCTTGGTATGAGAAAGAATCATCAGTGAGGCAGCTCCGTTACTGTGATGTGTTAGAGCTTCACCGCAGGGAACCGAGAGGATGGTTTCTAGTCCTCGCTCAGCAGCTAGCGTCCTACCAGTGTGACACTGGGTGTGTTTTAGGTCTTAGTTTTCATATTTTTAAAATAAGGAGACTGTACCTGGCTGGGTAGCTCAGTTGGTTAGAGTGTCATCCTGATACAGCAAGGTTGTGGGTTCAATCCCTGGCCAGGACACATAGAAGAATCAACCAATGAATACATAAATAAGTGGAACAACAAATCCATGTTTCTCTCTCTCTTTCTCTCTCTTTCAAATCAATCAATCAGTCAGTCAATCAATCAATAAAACGAAGAGACCAAATAAGATGATCTTTAAGGATTTTTATTGGCTCTCAGATCTATATTCTCCTTTCGAGTGTCTACAGAGGCGTCAGGACTGCTGTGTACAGCTGCCCAGGATGTGTACTGCACAACTCCAAAGGTGCAGGTCATGTGTACTATACAGATGTAAATGGTCCCACTTGGTGGTGGGCAAGAAGAGCCACTCTGAAAGGACAGTTCTTAAATCTGTCTGAAGGAAAGAAAGCCCTAGAACTTGCTCATTTCTGCCCTACTTTATCAGGAGATAGACTTATCTCTACAGTTCAGATTTTTAGGCATAGCACGGACCTTTGAATTCGGGATCATATACCCACACTAGCAAATAGTCAAGGAAAGCAGAGCGCATATTCTACCTTCTAATCAGCTCTCATAACAATGTCTCCTTTTCTCTGCGGTACTGTTTCTGGCTTGGGCATCTGCGCTCTGGCCCGAATAGACCATACAACCTTTGTATCTCAGAAAGTGTCTCTGGAATCATCCTTGCTGCCCACCTGACCTTTCAAATCTATGTCCCAGTCCTGCCCACTGCATGCCCAACCCCGGGCAGTCCTTGACCACATCTGTGTCTGGCCCCGTGTGCCCCACTGATGATCCATAACTTCACCCACTCTCTTGGGAGACACTGAAGAGGTAGAAGGACTTCATGTTGCAGAAGCACAAAGGGAGCTTGGACTTCACCAGGCCAGTGTTTCCCAAGCTAAATCATCTTTCCATAGACTGCTCATAGGTGGCTCACAAGAAATATTCTTTGTGTTTAGAAACAATTGTTTTAAACCAAGTTAAATAGACTTGTGTATAATAGGCGCACTGTGAGTCTTCAAGATTGGCCAAGAGTGCATAGCACTTGGCCAACTTTGTGAATTTGGGATATCCCAGGACAGCGTTGTCTGAAGGACCACTGTGGGAAACCTCTTCATTTACAAGCAGTCCTTGGAAGGCAAAGTCCAAGCCACAGAAAGTTAGAGGCAGAGCAAGAACTAGAACCCAGGTCAAATATGTCTATGTCTAGAATGCATTGGGAACTAGTGTGCTTCTTGTCTGTATTTGAAGATAGCAATCTTCATGATTTTTTCTTTAGTGAATGACTTTTCAATGTATTTTTATGGGGGAGGGTTGGAGAAATACTTTTTTTTTTTTTTACTTTATTGATAACACTATTGCAGATGTTCCCATTTTCCTCCCCTTTGCCCACCTCCCCTACCCTCACCCCCTTTTAAAAATGAATTAAATATTAAAAAATCCTTACTGACCTGGCCAGTTTGGCTCAGCTGTTAGAGCATCGGCCCGTGGACCAGAGAATACCGGGTTCGGTTCCTGCCAAGTTGAGGCAGATTCAGTTTGGTTCAGTTGAGGTTTGTCCCTGGCCCTGGTTGGGGTTGTGCGGGTGGCAGCCAGCTGATGTGTCTCTCTCATGCTGATGTTTCTCTCTCTCTTTCTCCCTCTCTCCCTCCTGCTCTATTGGAAGATGAATGCAAAAATGTCCTCGGGTGAGGATAAAAAAAATCCTTACTGTCCAGTTTAAGGTTCTGCACCTAGCACTTGAATATTTCTGTTATGCACAAAAATGTAGTCCCTACTCTCACAGACTATTTAATAGCATGCTTTTGTTTTTATACTCACTAGTGTTGATACTCACGTGTTCATACTTTTATGTTTCTAGGAAAACAGGCAGCTCTTCGGGGCCAACCCTTCTCTGGATTCCTGGAAGATGTATGTGGAATTCATCGATGACATCGTGGTAGAAGGCTTTTTTCAAGCCATAATGCATGACTTAGACTTCTTTCTGATGAACACGGAGAAGCAGTCCAAACCGGCACCATTTTTTCAAGCACAGATGATCTTAACGCCCCCTGAGATTCTGTTTAAACCTTCTCTAGAAAGAGAGGCTGGGGATGGCTTCTATGACCTGGTAGAGGAAATGCTGTGCAATAGTTTTAGGATGTCCGCCCAGATGACGCGAGTAGCAACACACCTGGGAATAGCAAATTATCAGGTATTTCCCTTGTAAATGGGTGTCTGTTTTTATAGTAATGATTTAAAATAAATTGAGGTGGTGGGAAGCACAGGAAAGGAGAAGTTGGGGAAAACATCATCTTTGATTTCACCAACTGCTCTCTCTTTGAAGAGTTGCCTTGGATAATGTTATGTTGCACATTCTTGATAAAGCAAAGATTGGGTTTAATAAATGCCCAGTTTTCCTCTCATTTAGAATGACATGGATGACATGTTAGGCCTGGCAGAGGTCAGGCAGGAGATAATGAACAGAGTGGCAGGTGTCATCAGCAAAGTCTTGGACTTCAGAAATACCTTGGACACATACGCTTACCTCTGGGTGGACGACCAGGCTGAGTTTATGAAGCATTTTCTTCTGTATGGACAAACTGGGTCATCTGAAGAAATGGATGCTCATGCAAATGAAGAGATCCCTGAACGGCCACCAACCCTGGAACAATTCAAGGAACAGGCAAGGATACCCTTTAGCTTTTAATGGAGCTCTTGGTTTTTGATTGAGTTGTTATAGTTAGTTTTCTTTTCTGATTACAGATTGATGTTTATGAGGCTTTGTATGCTCAGATGAGCAAGTTCGACGACTTCAGAGTGTTTGATAGTTGGTTCAAGGTGGACATGAAGCCTTTCAAAGTGAGCTTGCTCAACATTATTAGGAAATGGAGCTGGATGTTTCAGGAGCATCTTTTGAGATTTGTCACCGACAGGTAGCCTTTTGTGCTTTGGTATTTCGACTTATAACTTAACACCTGGCAGCTTTCTAAAACTGAGATATTAATTTTTTAAGAGCATTAAAACTGCCGGTTTTATAATAGAGATAACTAGTAATGTTTAATTAGGTCAATAATGAAAATAAGGTTCAGTCTGAAGTCTTTTCTAAATGTTTTAACAAACTTAATTTGTGCTTGTGTGTAACTGCATATATGTGCATATGTATTTAATAGTCTGAATGAGCTACAGGAATTTATAAAGGAGACAGACAGTGGACTTCAGAGAGAAGTAAGTGAAGGCGATCGCGATGGTCTGGTTGACATCATGGGGCATCTTCTGGCTGTGAGAAGCCGACAGAGAGCTACTGATGAACTCTTTGAGCCGCTAAAAGAAACCATCACTCTCTTAGAAACCTATGGGCAGAAGATGCCTGAGCAAGTCTACATTCAGCTAGAGGTAAGTGTAGTGGCAAAATAATAGTAATTACCACCAATTGAGCATCTCCTTTAGCCAAGTTCTTTACCTGTGCTCTTATGCCATCCTCATAACCTGTACTGTAGAGATTCACGTTTTCAGTTTCCAGGTTAGGAATCAGAAACCTGAAGGGAGTTGATAAAATGTGCAAGGTCACCCAGGCAGTGGCCAGCCAACACCTGCTGTGCTCCGCCGCCTTCCTGTTAGAAGATATTTAGGGGATAGAGGATCTCTGCGTTGCTCTTTTGAGGTCCACTTTAACATCAGTTTCACACATAAAACATATTCCCGCTGTCTTTCATTCAAAACTTTCATTGAGAAGTGTCCTAGTCTTTGGAAGACTATCATGGACACATTAATACAGAATAAGGAAGCCCAGTTTGGATGGAGGCATCACTGTGTTTCCAAAACAGGATTTCTCTGCCATCCTCCAGTTGGCATGCTCCGGAGAGACCTGGCACCTGCCGTGCGCCATGATAAACGAAGGCCCCTTCGGTGTGACTGGAACCGTGGATGAAGGTCACAGTGGAGCCCCCACCGCCATGCCCAGCTTGACGTTCTGGAGAGAGTTCATATATCCGCATCACCCCCTGCTTCCAGGCTAGGCTCACCGTTAGCCTTGCAAGTGGGATCAGTGGACACAGTAACTGAAACACTTTTATTGAATTTTAGGTCGGTGGTGAGAGTGTGGAACTCAAACTTAGATTTGTTTCTAAGAACTGAGTCCATCTCGTCTGCTTGCTTCAGAGTGTGCAGTAAAATACCCCTCAAGATACTTCGTTATTTCCCTACACTCTCCAATTTCCCACTTCTTACTTTCTGTTCCCTTTCTTTAATCGGGGTGACATTCACAGTTCACATAACATAAAAGTAACCATTTGAAAGTGTATGGCGTTTAGTACATTTTCATCACCCCCAAAAGAAACTCCAGTCCCATTGGTTGCCATTCCGTACTGCCCCACCTCCTCCCCAACCCTTGGCTACTGCCGATCATTTTGTGTCTCTATGGGTTTCCTTATTTTAGAGACTTCATATAAATGGAATCATCCAATGTATGTCTTTTACGTTTGGCTTCTTTCATTTGGCATGCTATTTTTGAGGTTCATTCATATTGTGGTATATATCACTAACTGCATTTTTTTTTTATGGCTGAATAATGTTTCATTATGCATATACACCACACTTCATTAGCCTTTCATCTATTGATGGACAGTTGCGCTGTTTCCACCTTTTGGCTGTTGTGAGTAGTACCGCTGTGCATGTTGGTGCACAGGTATTTGTTTACATACCTGTTTTCAGTTCCTTTTGGAATCACTTAGGAGTGGAATTGCTGGGTCACATGGTAATTCCAAGGCTGACTTTTTGAGGAACTGCCAACCTTTTTCTTGCTAGCTGCCCCATTTTATATTCCTTGTTTTGCTTTGTGAGGATTAAATGCAATAGTATATTTATAAGTGCTCTCTTGATTATGAATACTATAAAGAATTACTGTATATGAATGATAACTTTCTACATAAGTATAAACTTATAAGTATAAAACCAGAATTGAAAAATCTGGTTAGATATGGAGTGAGGTAGGATGTGGATAAATAGAAGCATAACAAGGATGGGTGTGATACAGTTACAGTAGAACACACTATAAATATTTGGTTTCAGAAACATTTGGATATTCTTTAAGTCAGATCTTGGACCTTAAAATATATAGAGATACCAATCGTAACACAGGTGATTGATATGTAGGATTTTAGCTACAGCCTCCAGAATTTGTATTATAAAAATTTGACTCACTACTTCAGGGTATGGCCATATTGGCAAAATTTGGCTTTTTAATATTTCAAAAGTGGGCCACACTCTCAGCTATGTGTGTGCTTCTGTGTCGGTCATTCAGGCTGGTCAGGAGGAAATTCAAGATTGATAGGCAGAACAAGTTGCATGTGAAGTTTAACAGTGACCCAATTTTATTTTAATTAAAGCAACTTGCAGTAGTTACTGTTTCTCCTGCATAATCATTAGCAGTGATCACATTTTCCAAACACTTGCTTGTGCTTGGCTCTGTCTAAAAGCCCTTCAATGTGACTGCGTCCTCATACTCTATCTACAGTGTGTCCTGAAGCCAGACTCAACTTCCAATCTGCAGATTTTATCAAGTCCATTCTCTGCTAAGAAACCTTCATTGACAGCACATAGCCTCCGAATACTGTCCAGTTTCTGTCCCCCATCCTGCACTGGTACCCTTACCGCATGGGATCTCCAAAGATCTCCCCCTAATCTCTGCCTGTTAAAACCCAGTTATTCTTTTGAGTCTGAGGTTCAGTGTTACCTCCTCCAGTGGATCACATCAGGTACCAAGACTTTGAAGAGCCTCTGACCTTTTGGTTTTCAATGCAGATCTATTTTTATCAAGTAGAAGCTTATTTGGAATCCCTAAATAGAAAGCAGGTAATGACCGGTGAAGTGTAGTTGAGGAGGGTCAGAGGGGCTGAGCCCACTGATGTGACCTCTCTGTGGCTTCTCACCCGTGGCTCCTGAAGGGACTTTGTGTGATATTTAGGTTCCGTGGGATCAGCTGGAAATGCAATGTACTGACAAGGCTGCTGGGTTCTGCTGAGATAAAGGCTGAAGGAAGCAGATGAAGGGCGGGTTCAGAGACCTGGTGCCTTGGTTCCTGGCCTGCTTTGGCATTCCTGCCGTGGCCATGGTGCCTCCCGGGCACTCACTCCCCGACACACAGATGTCCTGGTGGAAGTGAGCACATTCTGCCATGAAGAATAATTACTGTGTGTGCTGCTCATTCACTCTGACACATTATAAAACTATCAAAGTCAAAGAATATGTTTTCTCTTTGTTGCACTCCCGTACCACACAGATACAATGTGTACTCAGCACAGTGCACTCTTCATAATTAGTGGTCACTGAGTCATCCATCAGATATTCATCCAGGGTTACAAATCAGTCTGGAGAACCTTTGATTTTTGCACTTCAGCTGTGCAAGTTGAGTCTCACCACTGTGGGGGGTTTCGTACAACAAAGCCCATTTCGGTGTCCGGGGAGATGACCCAGAGAAACGAGGCTTTGTTAGTCTGGACACAAGGAATGTTCTCAACAGCAATTATGCACAATGGCTCTCCAAAGAAAACAACTTCCTGTTGTCCTGTTTGCATTGTAGTCAGGGAGGGCACAGTTGAGTTGCTTCTTTTATCCTCCATCAAGTAGGAATTAACCCTCCTTTCACTTTGTCTCTTCTTACTTCAAAAATCCTAGTAATTTAAAATTAACCTAACCTAAATGCACACACTTGCCATCAGAACAGTACACAGGGCCTCGGAGCTGGGGGGAAGTGGACGGTGGGACCGGCCCCATTTCATCGCCGACCTGCCAGATTCAAAGCATTTTTTTCCACCTGCTGAGTTGCTAAATTAAACATGGCTCCATTTCTAGTTGAGATCCACAAAGTCAATTTTATTCTCTCAGCAGCAAAACATTTTAGCATTTGCGTTTATTTTGAAAAGATTTTCATTTATTCTGAGATAAATGTTACACCAGAGGACAACTCAGGTTTATGCTTGGAAAATACTGATCCAGGGTCAGCGGGTCAGCCTGGCTCTGAGTCTTTTAGTCACTTTCACCTCCTTTGAGACAAACTCCTTCTCTTATACACGAATGAGAAGATGGCATGGGCAGTGTAGAGATCAGAAGTATTTAACACTATGGGGCTGATTCGTTTGAGACATCGGGGTAATTTCCTGTGTGCACCTGTTTCGCAGGAGTTACCTGAAAGATGGGAAACTACCAAAAAGCTTGCCGCAGTGGTCCGGCACGAAGTGTCCCCTCTCCAAAACGCAGAAGTCGCTCTCATAAGGAAAAGATGTACTTTGTTTGAGGTAAGCGAGCTACCACGGTTTTTGTTTGTTGTTTTTTTTAAACAAAGGCTTTACACGTTTTATTGAAGCTGTTTGTTTAAGATTCACTTTCATTTTTTTCCTGCCCTGATCAGGGGAAGCAGGCCGAGTTCAGACAGAGGTTCAGACTCCAAGCTCCTTTCGGCTTTCACGCGGAGAATCCCTACGCGGCGCTCGACAAGGTGATGCGGTCTCAGTTATCTCACGTGTGTCACAAGAGCTGTTTTGGAAAATAAATATAGACACTGAGATAGTGCTATATTTTGCCTTAGTTTTGCAGTTGGTTATAGGAGTCGAGAATTAAGTACTTAAAACACAATTATAAACAATTTTCCCCAAGTAAATTATATTGATTTAAATCATGTGTGTCAAAACCACCAACATGATCAAAGTAATCATACTAGTGCAAGCAACAACTACGACTGTTTTTAAGCGCTTACTGTATATCTATCAACAACTTTGCTCAGCCTATTACTTACCTTACTTCAGTTCTTTCCATTTCCCTATGATGTAGCTTCTATTATGATTAATGGATATTTGGTCCTATCCAAAACATCCATGAAGACATTTGGTCCATGCCAAACGGTCCTTAAAATTTGGCCTTATCCCAAATGTGCATAGTTAACACAAATCCTGCTCTTCTGCAAGATTTGAACCCCGACCCATCTACTAACCCCAGGCGCCAGGACCAGCTCAGCTACCAAGGCAAGCAGGGTTCTCATTAGCAGTGTAGCCACAACCCAATCATTGGACCAAGAAGACATGAGAGTGTTTTTTAATGTATTAATCCTGTAAACAAAAAGTATAAATAAATATTATGGGCTATTTGGATCCAGGGCCGTTTTCTAAGGAACATTTTCTATGCGTGGACATTTTGGACAGGACCAAGTGTCTGGCCTGCAAGGTCTATTCTCTTATTTTCAGATAAAAAAATAAGCATGTATAATTAACTTGTTGGAGAGTACACAGTTAGTAAGTGATACAACTCGTATTAAAATCCCAGCTAATTTTTTTTTAAAAATCAACAATCTTAGTCAGTATACTATTTCCCATGTGAATTTTGCCAGTCAGTAACTCCATAACTTACTGTTAACTGAATACAGATATTGCCGAGTCATTCAATCCTAGTTTGTAATGAACTGCTTTATTATGGTTGACTATAAGAATGAATAAAATGGGTAAATAACCCAGAATAGTGAGTTATTCATCTGAGGCTTGAAACAATGTTTTAAACTTTTATTAGAAAAAATGTATCTTTTGTTTCTCTAGAAATTCTTTACCAAGTAGCTGAAATGAGAAAATTGCTTTGTGATGTTTAGATTTAGGAGCTGGGTATCTTTCTTCCTTTTAAAAAAATTTTTTTTTAAATTTATTTTTAGCAAGAGAAAGGAAGGGAGAGAGAGAGAGAGAGAGAGAGAGAGGGAGAGAGAGAGACAGCGACCTTGATTTGTCATTCCACTTATTTATGCATTCATTGGTCGCTTCTATATGTGCCCTAACCGGGGATCGAACCCACAACCTTGGCTTATGAGGACAACGCTCTAACAAACTCAGCTACCCAGTCAGGACGGGAGCTGGCATCTTTCTGAGTCCTTCCTCTAGGCTGCCCTCCTGGGTTTACTTTATGCTGGAGACAGTCTTTACTCGTTAGACTGGCGTAAAACCTGCAGCTCACAGCTGTTGCTGCTTTCTCCAAATTCTGGGTTGAATTGCATTTCAACTGCTTCAGAAAACAGTTCTATAGCACAGGGTCTCCTCGTTCACTTGCCTGAAGAAAGGGGACAAGGCGAGTGGTGTGGTGAACCTCTCCTTTCTGTAACCGATTCCTTAGTAAAGTTTACGCTATTGTTTCTTCATAGCCACGGGTGCAGTAAACACTTGAATTAACATTACTGGGTATATAGCTCTACAAATAATTGAATTAGTATAAATAATGGGAAAATTGATTTAAAATCAATAAAATGGCTGTTGTTGGTTTTAGGGACTATGATAGACCAGACATGTTGAAAATCCTCTTCTGTAAAACAGATGCTGAAACATGTTCTCAAATGTGAAACTTGAAATCTATTGCTGAGTTTCCATAAAAAGCTAGAGCACTCGCTAAAGGGCAGGGAAAAAATAGAGCGCAGGGTGGCAAGCGAGTCTGGAGTCGAGTCTGCGTCGCTCTGCGGGGCGGGGCCAGGACCAGTGGTCCAGAACGCGGTGACGAGCCTTCAGGGGGAGAGAAGGATGCTCTCAGGAGGCTGCACCCTCGGGGAAGGGCGCTTAGGAACCTGCAGCGGCAGAGAGACTCGGAAACTGCTGTCAGGCCCTGCTCAGGCTCAGAGTAGGAAACGGGAAGAGGGACAGGATCCTCCGGTTTTATAAACATAGGCCTATTTTCATAAGGATTATTGTTCGGGTTGTACAACCCCCACGATGAAGGGATGTCCAGGCCGGGAAATGGAAGTGGATACAAGTAGCTCTGCTCAGTGCCTGGTGGACGCAGACCCGCATCTTCTCTGGGAAGAAGTGCTCTGATTCTAGTCTTCTCAGGGGTCCAACAAATCCAGTTCAGTCAAATACGAGTTTACAAGAAAACAATCAGTAAACACACCATCATGCAAACCACAGATATCATATAAAATGTCAGATACTAGAAGACATTTATTAAGAAAATAAAAGATTCCCTGGCCGGTTTGGCTCAGCAGTTAGAGTGTCAGCCAGCGGACTAGAGAGATTCCAGGTTCGGTTCCCGCTAGGGGCACGTACTTCAGTTGCAGTTTGTCCCCAGCCCTGGCTGGGGTCGTGTGGGTGGCAACCAGTCGATGTGTCTCTCTCACATTGATGTTTCTCTCTCTCTCTTCCTCCCACTCTATCTGAAGATAAGTGCAAAAAAAAAAAAAAAAAAAAAAGTCCTCAGGTGAGGATAAAAAATAAAGATAATGTTGGAAAAAAATGAGCCAAGTTCTCAGTTTTGAGACTATCAGTGGTGATCAGCTGAATTTGAAAAAGGGCCAGGAACTTATGGAAATGAAAAATATAATTATTTTTTAAAAGTCAGCAGATGGGTTAGAGAGCTAGTTAAAGCTAAAAAGAGAATTAGTTAAATGCAAATGACATTGGAAGAAATCACATGGAAGGCAGCAAGCACATAGGTGTAGGGAGATGGGAAATATAAAAGAGATTAAGGGACACAGAATAAGAAGTTAAAATGTCTGACTTCTACTCAGACATCCTGGAAGAGAGAATAAACAGAAATATTAGATAAGCAATGGTCAGAGATATAATAGCTGAGATTTCCCTAGGACTGGTCAAAGCATGAATCAGTAGATTCAGGAAATTCTCTGCATCCCAACCAGGCTAAATACAAAGTCAGCATCTAGACACATCACAGTGCACTGCAGGAATACCAAAGGCAACCAGACAGAAAGGACAGACCACCTGTTAGAAAAGATGATGGAGCTAAGAGTATATTTCCATCAGTAACACCGGAAGCCAGGAAGTGGTGGATGGTAGTTTCCAAATTGTATAAAATTATATTTTAATAATAAGAGTAAAATAAATATATTTTAGGTAAAAACAGAATACATGAACCACCCAGAAATCATCACTGAAATGACTCCCAGTGTGTGTCTTTCAAGAAGAAAGACCAACAAAGCCAAATTTGATTCTGAGAAAAACCTAATTATATTGACAAATCTCTGGTGGAATGAACAAGGGAAAAAAAGAAAAAGTAATAGTCTTAGGGATAAATAGGGAGTGATAGGACAGAAAGAGTAGACATTAAAAAGATTATAGAATACGATTAACAAGAAATTTGAAAACTTTAAACAAAATGGATACATTTTTAGAAAAATATGATTTACGAAAATAGGCTCAAGAAATAGTAAACCTGAATAGTCGTTTAACTATTTAACTAGTAGGAAACGAAAAAGAAAAAATGAGCCAATAGTTAAAAATCTTTCAAAATAGAGAATAACAGGCCCTGGTGTTATTGGTGATGATTGTCATTGATGATTCCAGAGACCAGAGAAGAATGAACAGTAAAAAATCCTGCTATGGAACATGTTAATTTTTATAAAAGGACAGCATTAGAAAGGAAAAATTATAGGCTAGTATCTATAGATGCAAAGTTACTAAACAAAATATAATCAAGTGATACCAATTTATAAACAAGTTGGCAAAACAAGTTTGATTTAACATTAGTACATGAATATAATGCATCATATTAATGATGAAGAAGAGAAAAATCATATGATCATCTGAAGAAATGCAAAAAAATGTGAGGTATTTATTCAACATTCATTCATGATAGAAACTCCTGGAAGACATTTTTAACCCATTAAAGATAACAAAAACTCTACATAAAACATTTATACCAGAAGTGAAAATTGCTAGTTGCATTAATGCTAATGGTGAAATACAGGACAAGCCTAAATGACCACCCAAAGTAGAATACATGAACTTCACACACATCTTCATGAATATAGACGTGTGCCTCAAAAGTAAGTACTAATATATTCTATATTAATATATAGAATAAAACTATCCACATAAAATTTAAAAACACACGTTTTAACAGTTTAGCATTTAGCAGTACATACATATGTAGTGAAAATATTGTAAAAATCAGGGGGGGATATTAAATAAAAAATTGGTGGTTAAACTTGCAGTGGGAACAAGAAGGGTAAAATTGAGAAGTCCATTAAGTATTATTAGTGACACAGTATTTCCCAAACTAGATTGTATGTATGCTCACACCCACACCCTTTTACGTGTATGGAATTTGACTTGCAGTTCTTGTTTATTAAGGTAAAATTTGAACAAGTGGAACACAAGACCTGTATAATAAAAGTAGAGTACTAATATTTTTGTTTATTACACAGTAGGAAATTAAGAGACAGAGCTTAAAGTGGATGAACCACAAAGGGATTAAGTATGGTCAAGTTAAAAAAAAAATCTAAAGAACTAAAGAAATGGAATTGCTGTCTATTGAGAGGAGGAGGGGAGAAAATATGAAGTGGAAAGACAACGTTAAACCCTGTTTTGCGAAGTCTGTAGCTTAGTGTAATGTCGAAACCCAATCCATCAGAAACAGCTTGTGCGCAGAGGTGGGAGTCCGAGCACCCAGAGAACCTGGGGGTCCGAGCACCCAGAGGACCTGGGGGTGAACCTGGCTCTCCAGCTTTTCCCGCATTGCCTGCTCTTCCGCACTCCTTGAACTTTTACCATGTGCCTACACCACTGTGCTCATAAAACTGGAATTAAGAGTTGGCCTATTAAGAAAGAGAAAGATGAATCGGCTTGCACTTGCTATAAAATATCTACTATTCTACGTAGACCAGAGGGCAGGTGCCCCTTGTTAAGATAATCATCCAGGGACATTTCTCATACTGTGCTGCGGTTTTAGTGCCCAAATTCTCGGTCCATTTTGTGCTATGGCTAATCCCTCGGATATTTTTTTAAATCTGAAAGTTGTTTTCGTCAAGTGATTTATTCTTAAGTGGAAGCCTCCAGAGCCTCCTCTTTGTGCTGCCCAGCAGCATCCCCAGCTGCACAATGGAACATCCAGAGGAAACATTGTATCTGTAGAAAGCCACGCCAGGGCAAATTTCGTGAAACCTGTAGGGAGAATATTGATAACACTGCTGTATTTATTAACAGTCTCCTCTCACCTTTGCAGAAGCTGTGAGTTCACTTTTCTAAAGCTTTCTATTTGACCCATAATTACACTGCAGGTTTAAAATATGGTGTTTTGGTTTTTTTTTCTTTTTAAGATCAAAATTGTTAATACTGTTATAACCGGAGCTACAGGACTGGGTAGGCTCCTCTCTCTCCGGCAGTTCGCTGGGTGTTCAGGGCGTCTGTGTGCCTGTGTTTTCTCCGTAGGCAAACCAGGAGCTTGAGGCATTGGAAGAAGAAATGTCACAGATGCAGGAGGTGACTCGTCTTTTTGAGGTGGCTCCTCCGGAGCACAGACACATGGGGCAGTGCCGCAGGGAAATGACGCTGCTCAAGGGACTCTGGGATGTCACTGTTTATGTTAAAGTAAGACACTGCTTTTCTCTTCTTTTAGTAGTTCTGTTGTATAAATAGGCAACTTTTTTTTAAAATTTTTTATTTATTTATTTATTTTTATTTTTTTATTGATTAATTTTTGTTACAGATGTTTCTCCTTTTTTCCCTTACTGATTCTCCCCTCAACCTCCCTCCCTGCCCCTTCCCCAGATTGTTGTCCATGTCCACTGTTCATGCATACATACGTATAAATTCTGTGGTTGAACCCTCCCCCACCTCCCCACTTTTTAGGGGATTGTCAGTCTGTACCCTGCTTCCGCGTCTCTGGGACTACCCCATTCCTCAAACTGTTATGTTCATTATATTCCACAAATAAGTGAGATCATATGAAATTTGTCTTTCTCTGTTTGGCTTGTTTCACTTAGGATGATACTTTTCAGGTCCCTCCATGTAGTCTCAAAGGATAAGAGATCTTTCTTTCTTATAGCTGCATAGTACTCCATTGTGTATATGTACCACTGCTTTTTGATCCATTCGTCTACTGATGGACACTTGGGCTGTTTCCAGATCTTAGCGATTGTAAATAGTGCTGCTACAAAGATGGGGGTACATATATTCTTTCTGATTGGTGTTTTATGCTTCTTAGGGTATATTCCTAGAAGTGGGATCACTGGGTCAAATGGAAGATCAATTTTTAATTTTTTGAGGTGACACCATATTGTTTTCCATAGTGGCTGCACCAGTCTGCATTCCCACCAGCAGTGCACTAGAGTCCCCTTTTCTCCACACCCTCGCCAACACTTGTAGTTTGATGATTTGTTGATGGCGGCCATTCTGACAGGTGTGAGGTGGTACCTCATTGTTGTTTTGATTTGCATCTCTCTAATGATTAGTGATGATGAGCATTTCTTCATATGTTTCTTAGCCATTTGTATGTCCTGTTTGGAGAGGTGTCTATTTAGTTCCTCTGCCCATTTTTTAATTGGATTCTTTGTCTTCCTTTTGTGGAGTTGTATGAGCACTCTATATGTATTGGAAATTAACCCCTTATCTGATATATCATTGGCAATGATGCTCTGCCATACAGTGGGTAGCCTTTCCGTTTTGATGATTGTATCTTTCGCTGTGCAGAAGCTTTTGAGTTTGATGTAGTCCCATGTGTTCATTTTCTCCTGTGTTTCTATTGCCTTAGGTGATGTGTCAGTAAAAATTCTGCTGCGTATGATGTCTGAAATTTTGTTGCCCACAGTCTCCTCTAGGATTTTTATGGATTCATGAGTTACATTTAAGTCTTTCATCCATTTTGAGTTTATTCTGGTGTAGGGTGTAAGTTGATGGTCTAGTTTCATTTTTCTGCAAGTAGCTGTCCAATTTTCCCAGCACCATTTATTAAAGAGGCTGTCCTTACTCCACTGTATGCTTTTGCCACCTTTGTAAATAGGCAACTTTTTGCGCCTATATCATTCCATTTGGGTTTTATGTCTTGAAATATGTGGACATTATACCCTCCTCACCCCCCAGAATTAGAGTTCAGACATCTATGTTAGTAGAAGACCCTTCTCTGAACCTCAGTTGTTTTTGTTTTTAGTTCTGAATGAAGCGGTGTGTAATGAGTTGACTGCTTCACATCCTTTTGGGGGATTATATAGGTTATAAATAAAAATTAATGTGTAAATACATATTACACATACATGGTGACGTGTTCATTCAAACTCATGTTACACCCATGCTTGTACTGATGTGTACGTGCATATATAAATCGACCTCACTAAAGAAGAAGTTAACTTGTACATGTTAATTAAATTACAAACTTAAATGTAAAAATAAATTCTAGGGAACTGGGCATATTGCAACATGCATTATACATAATTCATGGAATTAGCTGAAAGTCATATAGAAATATATCAACAAGGGCTAGAATAGAGTCAAGAAGTTAATGAAAGTTTATTTATAAAGGATTGAGGTTTTGATTAAAGCTTATTTTATGTTATATGTAGAATAATAAAAACCTGGTCTATTTAATGGTCATATACTTACCAATTCATTCACAGTACTCGGGATGAAATGATAATGATGGTGTGTGTATGGAATTTGTCATTGCTACTAGAAATTAATGTCTCATAATGTTTCAGCCTTAAGTTTGACATGTTCTGACAACTTTTTTGTTTTGGAGCTAGGAAGTTTTGACAAGTGCAGTAATACTTAAATAATTGACTTTCCACTGGATGATAGAGCCACTGTGTATCATCAGTTCATATATTTTGCTGTGGAGACTTGCTTTCACCAAATGTTGTTGACACTTTTATCTGCTTGTACATTTTCAGAGAAGCATTGATAATTGGACCAAAACCCAGTGGAGACAGATTAATGTGGAACAGATGGGTGCAGAACTCCGAAGGTTTGCCAAGGCAAGTTCCATAACTGTCGGGCGTGACGATTTATCTTCCTCGGCACCACCTCCTTCCCTCTTCCCTAACCTGGGATCTGGTGTTTGGGGCCCCATGTCCTTATTTACTTCACACAGGATGATATGAGACAGTATTTTTTTTCCCCTCTCAGCCAGTTGCACTTTTAATCAAGCCTGCCTTTCTGTGAATGAATGGGGGGAAAAACATATCAGGGCTAATGAATTTATGAGTAGCCACTGCAATCATGAGTTTCCTAAAGCTGTCTGGAATGGAGTGTGTGAAGATGAAGAGTACGGGGATTGGAATTCTTTCCTTAGCAACCATGACTATTTTGTATTTTAAAAATTCCTTTTGGTTCTAGAACTGAGGGTGACGGATTGGAGTATACAACGTGTGGGTTTATATGGACTGCTCTGATCTTTGTATTATTGATGATTCCAGCACGCCAAGGGGCTCAATACATACGGAACTGAGCTTGTTTGAACGTGATGTTTTGATACCTAGTCTGCACAGCCGTATGCCCTCTGAAGAGAGTAGATCCTCTTAGGGCGAAGCCTAAGAGCACTGGCGGGAAGGCAGTTAAAGTGGCTCTTCTCCCCTGGCTCACTCTTGCCTTCCTCAGTCCTGCGCTCAGCTCCTACCAACTCTTCCCAGTTTCTTCCTCCCATATTATCCTGGTCCCATCACCCGTCTGAAGGCCCTGGCGCCCCGTCTCATCACTGTGCTCACGCCCTGTGTACTCCGCCACCCTTTGGGCTCACTGCGAGTGGCAGGTTCACCGGCTCGCATCCTCACCCGAGGACATTTTTTCATTCTTTGCTCAGATAGAGTGGGAGGGGAAGGGAGAGAGAGAGAGAGAGAGAGAGAGAGAGAGAGAGAGACATCGATCGATGTGAAAGGGACACATCGAGTGGCTGCCACCCGCACGACCCAACCAGGGCCGGGGACAAACTGCAACCGAGGTACGCGCCTTTACCGGGAACCGAACCCGGGTCTCTCTGGACCACAGGCCGATGCTCTAACCGCTGAGCCAAACTGGCCAGGGCGTGCTTGTATTTTTTTAAACAAGTGGCACCGCCCTTTTCTTCATGCTGAGATTGTTTATGATGGGTTTCCTCATGCACAATTGTGACTGTTGCTCCTTGGGCGGAGAGGACAGCCGAGTCCAGGGCCCTACTCGACACATCTAAACGCCATGAGATACGTGAGCCCCAGGAACAAACACTCAAAGGCACTGACATTTCCAGGCCACCGTTCAAGTAAGGCGGGGCTTTGGAGGAAGGTCTTAGTCATCCAGACAGCAGTCTCAGTTTTCTGTTTGTTTGTGTTTCTACAGGAAACACTGTTCATTGCACAGGCCCCGTAAACTCTTACTTGGCTGCATGCAGTGACCCGTGAACATGGAGTTAGCCCGCGAATCCGAAGGCAGAGTGTCCAAGGGGCTTGTACACACTGGACTTACCTATATGAATGAGAGGATTCTTTTCTGTTTCTCTGGTATTAGTCCTTAACCCTGGGGCTTAAATGCTTTTACTCTCTTTCCTAACTCTAGGAAATGTATATTTATTCTTTCAGTGAAGGTGAACTACAAAATGTATTGTTATATCTGGGGACTTTTTTAATTTTTTTTTTTGCTTTGCTTTGCTTTAGGAAATCTGGTCCCTGGACAGGGAAGTCCGTGTCTGGGATGCGTATGCAGGCCTGGAGAGCACAGTGAGGGACATGACAACCTCCCTGAGCGCTGTCGCCGAGTTACAGAGCCCTGCCCTCAGAGCCCGGCATTGGCTCCAGCTCATGCAGGCCACTGGGGTCAGTGTCCTGAGTCTCGTTAATTGACTGCTTTTGTGACTATGAAGTATTATTCATCTGGGATGAAGTGGGATTTGTGAACAGGTCTCTGGTCAAATGGGAGAGGTTAAGCTGCTGGAGAGGACAAGCAGAATGAACATGCAGAGGTCCTAGCGTTAGCCCTCTGCCGTGGATAAACGTGTCTCCGGAGAGTTCATATGTTGAAGCCTAAATTTCCAACGTGATGGTGTTTGAAGGAGAGCCTGTGGGAGATAATTAGGTCACGAAAGTGGAGCCCTCATGAATGGGATTACTGCCCTTATAAGGCCATAAAAGACCAGAGCTTTCTGTTCCCTGCTATATGAGGATAAAGAAGACCACAGATTTCTGTAAGCCAAGAACCCAACCGCTCAGGCACCTGGCTCTCGGGCCTTCAGCCTCCAGAACATCGAGGAGTAAATGCTTGCTGCGTAAACTGCCTAATCTCTGGTATTCCCTTACAGTAGCCCAATCTAAGTCACCCCACTTTTATCTCTTACTGGTTGTGTGAACGCAAACGAGACATGTAAATTTTGAATGTATCTTTTACTAATAAAACGAGAGGAACGCTAAGACATATAATAGAGCACAACATAGCTGCAAAGGACCTTATTTCAGAGAAGATCAGAGGGCATAGAAAGGAATTTAGGGAGAGAGGGAATTCTGAAATTGTGATTTTGTTTTTCCTCCCACAATTCATTTAGTAATGGTGTCTTTTTTGATAGTCTTTTGATGGTTTTGACTTTATTGCAATATATAAAATGGTTCCTCATGCCACTTGAGGTAATATTTTCTTGTCTTTTTGCATCTTTTAAGGGCAGATATATCAATCTTACACTTTATTTTTTTAGGGAAGGTGACCTTTTTGAATTTAAAATGTGTGAAAGGCAGCCTGGTCTGTTTGTTTTGTCCTTGGGCAGCTCTAGACCTCGAGGGACTCACTGTGATGAAAGGCTCTCAGGATTTGAAGACAGAGTTTGCAGTTTCCCCACTAATGAAAATTAGGCTTTGTCGTTCCAACCCTGACACTTAGTAACTCTGGGATCAGGGGGAACTTACCTGCTCTCCAGACCTTAATTGCCTCCTCTATGAAATGAAAACGCATAATGCTTCCCATGCAGAATTGGTGAACAAATTGGAGATGAGACCCAGTTTATAGTAAGTGCTCAATAAATGATCCCAGAAGCTATTGTTATTAGAGTCTTTTAGACATTGTATGTTTAGACTCGGCAGTTGATTGATTCATTCATTCAGAAAAATCTTTCTTGAGTCTCCCAATATGTAATCGACTGTGGGCCCCTCTCCCCCCTCACACTTCCTGCAATGACATTTCTTCTCACCACAGTCTCTTGCCTGTATCCCACCTTTCTGCATGTGACAAAAATGCACTTTCCCTGGCAGAAAGTGCACCTTCCTCCAGGCTGTGCCAGGGCCTCAGAGCGGTGGCTGAATTCACTTGTCGCCTGGGCTGGATGTTCATGTCCAGTGCACACACTGTGTGACCGATTGTGGTGGTCCCATTCTGTATCCCTGCTCATTCCTTCTCTAAGGCAGACCTGGGCCCATCAGCTGTGGAGTGAGGCTGAAAATGATGCAGAGAGAGGGTGACCGACTCATTGGTTTGCCCAGGATTTTCCAGGTTTTAGCACTGAAAGTCCCACGTCTGGGAACCCCTCAGTCCTCGGCTAACAGGGATGTTTAGTCACCCTGTGCAGAGAGGTGGATGGTGACAAGGACTATTACAGGGTGGCGAGGGCTAGAGAGGACTGTCGCTTCTAAGGGGCAGGAAAGGAAATAGTTTCCCTGGAACCATGTGGCTGATCAGCTCTTCATTTGCACGGGGACACGATGACTTTGGACATTTAGGAAGAGCTGAGAGCTTCTTAGCAAATACTGGGGCGATGAGATGGAATCAACAAGGTGATGAAGAAATAAGTGTGAATTGCATTTTTCACATGGTAAATATGACTGACACTATGAGTGAAAGTCATAGTTCCCCCCGCCCCCAAGGAACTATGATTAAATTAGTGCTAAAACTAGGTTAAATTACGGAAGCAACTGGGAATTGTGTTCAGTGAACAGAACTGTAGGAGGAAAAGACAAATGAGCTACTACCTGATTCCTGGGATTTCAACCAAATTATAATAAATGAACGTAGTGATTCTCTTTGAAAAACGGATTTTGTGGGCAGAGGAGATAAGAAACGAGCGGACAGGGAAGGCCACTGAACAAAAGAAAGTAGTGTGGTGTGACCGTGGCCTAAAGCTCAGCCCTGCTTCTGACAGGTGACGCCAGAGAAACTGCAATTAAGAAGCAATGTCTTTGCGCAACTTTCAGACCAGAGGTGTGCTCAGCAGCTGACTTGAGTATATTGAGCTGTGATTCATTTCTCTGGCCATTAGGCAAAAGGAGCCATTCATATACGTGGAATATACATTCTGCCCTTTTTTCTTCCTAATCAGGTCACGTTTTCAATAAGCGAAGCCACAACCTTGGCAGACTTACTAGCCCTGCAGTTGTACCAGATGGAAGACGAGATCCGAAGCATCGTGGACAAAGCATTGAAAGAACTGGGGACTGAAAAGGTGGTGTCCTTGGGGCTGTTTCTTTTCACACGGGGCCCATCAGCAGACTCAGGGAGAAGTCCATGCCGTGGTTGTGTGGAGACATGAGTCCCAGCTTGTCCTCTGAGGCTAGTTAGTGTGTGACTTGGGCAGGAAATAGAATTATTCCGACCCAGAGGAAATGTGTAAAACCAGAGGGTTGGCCCAGTTGATGATGATGATGATCCCAGAAGACACTGACATATCATTTCCTTTCCAAGAGAGGTAATATTATTCTTCCCGTTTTGCAGATAAGGAGACTGAAGGAGAGACTGAGTAGAGAGTAGTTGACTTACCCAGATTAACACATTCAGGCACTCTGAGTGACCACCTGTCACACGCGGGCTAATTTGCAAATCAGGTCTATCAGACCCTGAGGGAACCTGTTTCATCCCTCCCTGCTCTAGCATTCTGTTTCAGTGAAGGATATAATGCAGATCCAACAGAAATCTGATATTGGTGTGATGCTTGTTCCTTTTCGTGACAGAATTTATTTCCTAAACCTCATCAACACATATTTGAAGGAATAAAAACTGAGGTCAATAGCCCAGCCAGTGTGGCTCAGTGGATTGAGCATCGTCCCATGGACTGAGAGGTCCCAGTTCAATTCCTGATCAGGGCACTTGCCCAGGTTGCAGGCTCGATCCCCAGTAGGGGGCGTGCAGGAGGCAGACAGTAGATGTGTTTCCATCTCTCTCTCCCTTCTCTCTGTAAAAAAATATTAATAAGAGCACATTTTAAAAATTGATGCCAATAATATTTTATATCACTCTATTTTTCAAAAAAATATTTTAAACATTAAGGGAATTCAAGATGACCTGGCCGGTTTGGCTCAGTGGTTAGAGCGTTGGCCCACGGTCCAGAGAGACCCAGGTTTGGTTTCCGCTAAGGGCACGTATCTGGGTTGCAGTTTGTCCCCGGCCCTGGTTGGGGTCATGTGGGTGGTAGCCAGTCGATGTGTCTCTCTCTCACATCGATGTTTCTCTCTCTCTCTTCCTCCCTCTCGCTCTATCTGAAGATGAATCCAAAAATGTCCTCAGGTGAAAATAAAAATAAATAAATAAATAAACAAATAAAATAATTCAAGGTGATAGCTTAGCTATTGGTGCTCAATAAACGTTTGCACATATAACTTATTACTATTTATGTCCAGGTTTTAACTGAAATCAGTGTGACCTGGGAGACCATGGAGTTTTCCTACGAAGTTCACTATCGGACAGGCATTCCGTTACTCAAGTCTGATGAACAACTCTTTGAAACTCTAGAGCACAACCAAGTAAGATGGATATTTTTAGTACAGATTCTTTTTCTTTTCAATTATGTTTTTATATTTTTTCCAGGTTTTAATATTATTAATTCATTTCTTGGGCATCTACTTGTACCAGCATCCAGGCATGGTACATTTGGGATTAAAAGATATGAACACTTGTTTTCAAAAAACTTGCCCTTGAGAGGGGAGACAGACAGAAGGGCTCCAGGGGTCTAAGAAGAGACAGGCAGGCTCTGTGATGGGGATGGCAAGGGATACGTATATCAAGGTGGATGGTCAGACCCAGAGCTCAGCCAGAGGTTCAGTGTAGGACAGTAGGAAGGGAGGTCATTGTCGGTATCTTGATTGTTGATAAGCTAGATAATGAGAGGTAAAGAAGATAAGCGGCAGAGAGTAGAGCTTCAAGAAAGGCTGTGTTTGGTGAACAAGAGGAGACATAAAGGAGGCAGAGAGAGAATGGTCAGAGAAGAGTGGGGAAAGGAGACTGCGGTAGCATAGCCACCACTGGATACGTTTTCCCCCAAAGAAGAGTCAAATGTCATGGAAACAACCTAAGTGTCCATTGATGGATGAATATACAAAGAAAATGTGGGGTGTGTGTGTGTGTGTATGTAATGGAATATTATTCAGCCATCAAAAGGAAACCCTGCCTTTGTGATAACATGGATGGACCTTGAGGGCGTTCTGCTAAGTGAAGTAAGTCAAACAGAGGAAGACAAATACTGCATGATCTGTCTTATGTGGAATCTAACAAAGCAGAACTCAAAGAAACAGAGCAGAATGGTGCTGCTGGGGGCTGGGGAAAGGGGAAATGGGAAGATAGTGGTCAGAGGGTACGCACTTCCAGGTAGAAGATGAATTATTCTGAGGATCTAATGTACAGCCTGGTGACTGTAGTTAACAATGTGCATTATATACTTGAACATTGTTAAGAGACTAGATCTTTCATGTTATCATCACAAAGAAAGGTGATTGTGTGGGGGGATTTTAGCTGTCTCTCCTGCAGTGTTTTCCAAACAATATGAAAATCTTGTAAAGAAACAGGATTTGGGGTATCATATTTATCAAAATATATTTTTGCCTGGCATTGAGAGGTCTGCCAAGTTCGGTGACGAACTCAAAGGGGAGGGAAATGGATGATCGCGGCCTTAGCAAGCTGGAGGGAAGTTCATTTTATTTTTTCAATATTGGAAGGAAAAAAAAAAACGACCCAGAACCATGGAATGATTAATAGGCAAGGACCAGTGGGAGAGTGAGAAAAGATGGAGAATAAAGTTTATTAAAGCTGCAGCCAGCATGCATTTTTCCTGCCTATATAGAGATATATGATCACCATGTAGAAGATTATATTAAATGCAGTTGCTTACAGTTATCATTTTTCTTTTGAAAAAAATGTTAATATGAATATTTAAGGTCATTTAGTCACTCATTTAGCAAATACTTATTGAAGGCCTGTTTGACATGCTGCATACCAGGTCCTAGGAGGCCAGCACAAACATGGATAGGTGTGTCAGAGGGGAGGCTGTTGGGGGGCTGGGCGAAAAGATGAGGGATTAAGAAGTACACCTTGGTGTCCTGACCAGTGTGGCTCAGTTGGTTGAAGCATTGTCCTGTACACTGAAAGGTGGCAGGTTCGATTCCCGGTCAGGGCACATAACCAGGTTACGGGTTTGATTCCAAGTCGGGGCGCATACAAGAGGCAACGGATCAGTGATTCTCTCTCTCTCTCCTTTCCTCCCTCTAAAAATCAATAAAAAACATATCCTCGGGTGAGGATTTTTTTGAAAAGTACAATTGGTAGTTACAGAATAGTCATGGGGATTACATGCATAGGGAATATTATGTAAATTATAGCATAGGGAATATAGTTAATAATACCGTGGTAACTATGTAGGGGGCCAGGTGGGTACTTGAAGCATTGGGGGGTGGAGGGGAACCACTCTGTAAAGTACATGATTTTCTTACCACCTTGCTGTACACCTGAAACTAATACAGAATAATATGGAATGTCAACTGTAATTGAAAAATAGATAAATAAAACAATAGGTGTGACTTCTCTCTCATGGTACATACAGTCTACCGATTTAGCTGTTATTTAAGATTCTTTGCCTTTCTTTTAGGTTCAGTTGCAGAGTCTGCTCCAAAGCAAGTATGTGGAATACTTCATTGAGCAAGTCTTACGCTGGCGAAATAAGCTAAACCTGGCAGACTCAGTCATCTCTACCTGGATGGAAGTCCAGCGGACTTGGTGTCACCTGGAAAGCATCTTTGTTTGTTCAGAAGATATTCAAATCCAGCTTGTGAAAGACGCTAGAAGATTCGATGGAGTAAATGCTGAATTTAAGGTTCGTAGAAGGCAGAGTGTCCATTGATGGATGAATATACAAAGAAAATGTGGTGTGTGTGTGTGTGTGTGTGTGTGTGTGTGTGTGTGTGTAATGGAATATTATTCAGCCATCAAAAGGAAACCCTGCCTTTGTGATAACATGGATGGACCTTGAGGATGTTCTGCTAAGTGAAGTAAGTCAAACAGAGGAAGACAAATACTGCATGATCTGTCTTATGTGGAATCTAACAAAGCAGAACTCAAAGAAACAGAGCAGAATGGTGCTGCCGGGGGCTGGGGAATGGGGAAATGGGAAGATGTTGGTCAGAGGGTACGCACTTCCAGGTAGGAGATGAATTATTCTGAGGATCTAATGTACAGCCTGGTGACTGTAGTTAGCAATGTGCATTATATACTTGAACATAGTTCAGAGACTAGATCTTTCATGTTATCATCACAAAGAAAGGTAATTGTGTGGGGGATTTTAGCTGTCTCTCCTGCAGTGTTTTCCAAACAACATGAAAATCTTGTAAAGAAACACTATTTGGGGTATCATATTTATCAAAATATATTTTTGTGTTTCAGGAAAAAGGGCCTGGGAAGGGTCAGACGTGAATATTTTAGGCTTTGCTGTTTTTTTCTGGTCTCTGCCACAGCTGCTCAAAGCTGCACTGGAGCTTTGAAAGAAGGCGTCGCCGCCACTAAACACATGGGTGTGGCTGTGCCCCAGCAAACCTCCTTCACAGGCACTGACATTTGAATTTCACGTCGTTTTTGTGTGTTAAAAATATGCTGCTTTTGATTTTTTTCCAACCAGTTAAAAATGTGAAACACATTCTTAACTTTGGGCCATACAACAGGCAGCTGACTAGGTGTTGTCTGTGGGCCATAGATTGCCTGTCCCCGCAGTAGGCCTGGTAGAGATGCATCTTCATTAAGTAAAAGGCTGAGGAGGGGAAGCCAGTAACAAAGTAACGCTACCAGTTACTTGTTTGTTTCCTAGGAGCCACAGAGAACACAGAGGTGTGCGTATGATAATGATGAGTGATTTGAGAGACTTTCAGCAAAGAATATTGGTGATTAAATATTTCCTTCCTATCTAAGGCAGAAACCCCAGAGGAATTCTGTTTTGTTTAACTTTTAAGGAGGAAAGAATGGATTCATACTCATCTTATTTTCATATCTGAGTGTATTCTTTAAGATTCTGGGCTCTTTCTGTCTTTATTCTTTTTATTTGTTTGGTTTAGAAAAGAAATTCTGTGTGGACCCAGAATGATGGTAATGTCTGTTGAATTTATTTTGACAAAAACTGTGGTTATGCGTTGGGTTTGATATTTATCTAGAAGTGTAAAAGCAAAAGTGAGTAGGCATGGTGTTAGAAGTTTCTTTAACCTTGCTTTCTTGTTGTTTTTCATTTTTATATTTTAATTTTTGAATATTCTTCATTCCCAAAATGAATGAAAAATTTAGGAAAGTAATTTCTAATATCAATGGCTCCATATTGTACTTCCACACAGGAGTTAATGTTCAAGACAGCTAAAATAAAAAATGTTTTAGAAGCAACATGCCAGCCTAATCTCTATGAAAAACTTAAAGATTTACAGTACAGGTAAGAATAAAATTATAAGGTGATCAATTTGTTAAAATTTTATGAGATTTCTTTCAAGTACCTAATAATACTTAATATCATGTTATTGTAGGTATACACTCTACTAAATTATTTTATAAGTTTGCTTATAGTTGCCTAATTACCTATTATATACTAGGTGGTACATATATTTTTTGAGTTAATGTAAATAAGTCCAAGTATATTTGTTTTCCAAAAGGACTATCATAATAGTAAAATTAGAATATCTTATTATCAAGAGACTTGACATGATTGGTGAATTCTTTTTTTTTTTTTAATCCTCACCTGAGGACATTTTTCCATTTTTGGTTCAGATAGAGTGGGAGGAAGAGAGAGAGAGAAACATCGACGTGAAAGAAACACATAGAGTGGTTGCCACCCACATGACCCAACCAGGGCCGGGGACAAACCGTAATCGAGGTACGTGCCCTTAGCAGGAACCGAACCTGGGTCTCTCTGGACCGCAGGCCAACTCTCCAACCACTGAGCCAAACCGGCCAGGGCGGTCAATTCTTTTATTGAGCTAGCCTGCAAACATTTATTAGGCATCTACTATATGCCAAGAACTGGGATTACACTCAGTTCTTCCAAGTCCTGTATTTTGCATATAGTTTAATTATACTAGAAATTATTCTTAGGGAACAAGTTAGTAGTTTAAAATCCTGTCCTAAGGGCCATTTGTAATTTTCATAATTTTACAGCAGTTAATGGTCATAAGAATATTCGGGCAAATCAGCTACTAAAAAGAAGAGGTTTGCAAAGAATTGCGATCACTTTTTTTTTTTTGCAATATAGAGAAGCGTGCTACATAAAAATATATAGCACATAAGCAAAATTATTTCATAATCTGGATTTTTTTCAGAGATAATTTGGCCATAATTTTAAAAGGGTGGGTCTCTAAAGAAGCTCATTCTTTCTGTTTAGTCAGTAATCTTTGGGGGCATTTAGGAGCTTGGGTTCTGAGTCACCTCTGCTCTGCTAAGAAAAATAAAGTGGAAATGACCTGGATCTTATGACTCTTGAATACCAGAGAGAGTTGAAATCACGTGTGTTTTGTAGATATCTAGTGGGAAAAGGAAGATGTAAACCAGTTACATCTTAACTAATGCACCTTGTGCTCAGGTTGAGTGAAACCAAATCTGGTCTTTTCCCTATTAGTTCGGAGTGTCATTAAGAAAAATGATGAGTGACATCAAACTGAGTGATCTGATCTAAATTAAGCCTCAACTAATGATGTGCGTGTGCGTGCGTGCGTGTGTGTGTGTGTCCTCCTCCCTGGAATGACTTGTGTGTCAGTCACAAGCAGGATGATGGTGTCAAAGAGAAGGAGGTGGGCCATCTGGTAAACAGCGAGCTTATTGGGATGGACAGATGGGAGAAGATGGGTTTTGTTTTGTTGACGTTTTAATAACTGAAGGGTCAAGATAAACTTAAAAATACATTTTGTTCACGTAGGCTTTCTCTTTGTGAAAAAGCTCTCGCCGAACACCTGGAAACCACGCGTGTGGCTTTTCCACGCTTCTATTTCGTCTCCTCCGCAGACTTAATTGACATTCTCTCCAAGGGAGCTCAGCCTAAACAGGTAAGATTTTTTTCAAGTCTCATATTATACTGTTAGCTAAGGAATGTCACAGTTTCTCTGTCAATGTCAAAGATCACCTCCCGTATCACATGTGCCAGGAGCTAGAAAATCTGCAATAAAAATTCTTTTTCTTTTCTTCACCCGAGGACATTTTTGCATTTATCTTCAGATAGAGCGAGAGGGAGAGAGAGAGGAAGAGAGAGAGAGAGAGCGCAACATCGATGTGAGAGAGACACATCGACTGGTTGCCACCCACACGACCCCAACTGGGCCAGGGACAAACTGCAACTAAGGTATGTGCCCTTAGCAGGAACTGAACCCGGAACTCTCAGGTCTGTGGGCCAAGTCGGCCAGGACTGCAATAAAAATTCTTAATGCAGCAACAGCAGGGGCCAGAGTTGGTGCTAAAGGAACTAGGGAAGGTAACTGCCTGGTCCTTGGTAGAGGGACAGGATCAGAGGTACCAGACTGAGGGCTTCGTAAAACGTTAATGGAAGAAACATTGGCTCCAAACCCCCCAGAATTCTGCAACAAGAGCTGGTGCATCTGTCGCCTGGTGAGCAGCTTTCCTAGGGGAAAATGGGTCACTTGGAACGCGATTGCGGCTGGAATCTTTCTACCACTCCCTTGATGCCGGAGTCAACTTCATAATTATGTAGTTGAACTAGTCTTCAGTGCTGTCAGGGCTGGACTGGAATAATTTGTCTCATTCCTTACCTAACCCTTTAATTTCCCCCTACCTGTACAAAAATAACATATCACCCACGCCGATTTTTAAAGCAAATAAAAGCAGCTATTATCTTTTGTATCGTGAGGGCTCAGATCAGAGATAAACTGTTCAAATCCCAAAGCAGTCCCCCTTTAAACATTGAGAGGATGTCGCCTTCCGCCTGTGTCCGTTCAGTTCACATTCATTTGCGTCTGTGGTCGTTCCAGCGGACACAGGCGGTTGCTCCTCGAGTCCATGTACAGCACAGGTGACTCCGAAGCCAAAGGTGTGCTGTGTCGTTGTGGGTTTGTCTCCTTGTTCCTTCTCTAGATATGTTCATGCCATTTCCTTTGGAACGCGTGGCTCTGCACACTAGTCTCCCGGACTCTGCTCGTCTTTGGACACGGCCTTTATCTCGATGAGTTCTCTCTTGCTCTTCATTTCTCCATGACTCTCGGATCAGCTGGACGGCTGTTCTTGCCGGTGCCAGTACAAGCATGCGCAGTCCTGCTTAATAACAGGGTTGTCAGTCAACTTTGGTAACTTTTTCAGGGTCCCCTCTCAGGTAGTACTCAGTATTTCCATGAGAATTCCCAGATGTCCCTGTAAATAAAATCCCTTGGATTAGATTGACTATGGACCCCAGTACACTTACCTCTCATTTATGTAGCACACAACTGGATGTTTTGGGTATTTTTAGATTTTTCGAGTGGGTGGGTGTTTTACTAGTTTAAAACGTAGTGGTCATCACCATACTTATGCTTCAGTAATCTCGGGGGGGCACCCTCGGGACCGGCGCTGGACCCTCTGCCAGTGTGACAGTATGAGCTGGAGGGGGTCACATTCTGTTCCAGGAACATGCTCCTGAAGTCTCTCCAACCCGAAATACTCATTCTCCTCAAGTTTCAATATATATGTAAGAAGAGAGAGGCATAAATCTGTAACTAGAATAACAGTCTTTTCATTATATTCTTTATATACAATAAACACTTGTGTGACTGGCATATTAAATAATGTTCATTTCAGAGAATACAGACATGAAACAGTTTTATTTTTCTATAATTAGAAATGCCAAGTGTGCTCTGCTAAATCTCTTTGCACTGAGCTACAGACTCTTTTATTCTTCTTTAATCCTCACCTGGGGATATTTTTCTGTTTATCTTCAGAAAGAGTGGGAGGGAGAGAGGAAGGGACGGGGGAGGGGGGAGAGAGAGAGAGAGAGCGAAAGAGAAACATCGATGTGAGAGAGACACAGGTTGCCTCCCACATGACCCCGACCAGGGACAGCAACGAACTGCAACCAAGGTCCGTGCCTTTGACCGGCATCAAACCTGAGACTCATTGATCCACTGGCCGACGCTCTAACTGCTGAGCCAAACCAGCCAGGGCCAGACTCTTATTCTTCATAACATCTTGGGTAGGTATTGTAACACCCTGATTCCTTTTTCTTTTCTGTTTTTCCATCCCCATTTATCCCTCCTAAACCCTCTTCCACCTCCAGCCATCCCCTCCCCCCTGCACCAACACCCCATTGTCCATGTCCATGAATTCTTTTCCTTTTTCTTATTAAAAAATAAACAGAAAACAGCTCAGCAAGATCTAGTTTATAATTCCAGTCTCACCTCTGTGTCAAGGTCAGGTTTTCGCGTAATAAATGCTAATGCCTGATTCTGGTCCTCTGGCCAGCACGACTTGTTCCTGCTTCTCCGCCCTCAACAGTAAGCATCCGCATGGCGGCCTGCTTGTCGATCACAGAAGTCCCTAGGGGACAAGGGGAACTCCCCAAGGGATGTACACTGCGGAGGCAACTCTCAGCTCTTGCAGTTCTTGCCCTTGGCCGTGTAGTCAGCCATCTGGATACATCTTCTCCCTTCTTTTACTCCTAAGCAGGTGTCCAAATGAGGGACCCATCACAGATTCATTTTCTCCTGACACCTGCAGTTTCTAGGAGTGATTCTCCAACTCCTCTCCCTTGATGACATTAGGGTAGAGGTTGGGGAAGACAATCCCTCACCTTCCCCATGAGGAGTGAGGAAAAGCCACAGCATCCTCCTCGGGGTTGAAAACTTACAGATGGGATGGCAGCCTCCTCTCCCCTCCTTCCTGCAGCGGGTCCAGAGAGGGGTGTATGGAGGTAGGCGATAAGGGTTGGGCTGTCTTACCAAGCCCTGGAGGGACTCACCTGTCCGAACCCCTGTTCGCTGTCTTGGAGTGTGCACTTATCCAGTTCCTCTTGGCCCGTAACTCAAGTCCTAGGCTGATGCCACAGAAACAGATCATCCAACACGTGCTTGTCACCAATTCCTTCACCTCCCCTCAGGTAATAATGACAAAAACAAGCTTCATGCCTTAGCCAACAGCATGTTGTCTCACAGGTCCATGCATCCCTGGTGCCGACTTCTATTTTATTTCTTCATTATTCTTCCTAAGTTACAGGATGGGTTTTTTTATTTTTATTTTTTAAATATGTTTTTATTGATTTTGTTTAGGGACAGAGATAGAAACACCAATGTGAGAGAAAACACTGATCGGCTGTCTATTGCACAACCCCCCACTGGGAATCAAGCCCCAAACCTGGGCATATGCCCTGACCGGGAATTGAACCGGGACCTCTCAGTCTATGGGAGGATGGTCAATCCACTGAACCACACAGGCCAGGGAAGGAATTTTTTTTTATCCTCACCCAAGGACATTTTTGCATTCATCTTCAGATAGAGTGAGAGGGAGGAAGAGAGAGAGGGAAACATTGATGTGAGAGAGACATCGACTGGCTGCCACCCACATGACCCCAACCAGGGCTGGGGACAAACTGCAACTGAGGTACGTGCCCTTAGTGGGAACCAAACCCGGGTCTCTCTGGTCCATGGGCCAATGCTCTAACCACTGAGCCAAACTGGCCAGGGCGCAGGGAATTTTTTTTTAAATAAACTTAAAAGAAGTATCTTTTAAATCATTCTTTTTATTTGCACAGCATCTCTTCAATATTTTAGTGTTATCTTCTCTAATATCAGCGAGACTTAATTGTGGTAGTCCACTCACCTACCTCATTCCTAGCGTTTTAATCATAAATTCTCGAATATCAGGTACATTGCTCAGTACTACTACTATGTAGTAGTACGACTTAATGACTAGGTAGTAGAAGACATTAAAAAGATTGCAAATTATAATGAAGCTGAATATTGAAATCGCAGCTCAGGGAGCTCCCAGGTTGCCCGTCACCATGGCGATGAGAGCCCACAGCGGTCTGCACGGTGCACACAAGGGACGCGGTCATTTCCGCTCACCGGCTGAGAAGGTCCACCACGTGGCTCCAGTGTCAACGTGGTCTACCGTTCACTTACCTGCCAGCTTCAGGAAGATTAGATTTTTTATATTTTTGAAAATTTGAGATTTATGTTATTTCAAACTTTGTCCAAAATTTGATTTTGTTGAGAGCTTTTCATTACACTAACTAAACTTTCAACAATTCAAATTCATATAAAATGCTGTCGCACAGTCCCTGAAGGTGCATAACTAGGAAAACGTTTAGCTGCCTCTGGTCAGCACACAGCCACTGAGGGCTGACGTGTTGGGACGGAGACAAGGGCCATTCGAGCCACTATGAGGCACAGTCAACTTTCTCCCCTGAATGGTTCTGCAGAGTTGAGGCCCATTCTGAATTCTTGGTCACTTACCGCAGAATAGTTAATGCGTTTGGCAATTACGCCAAGTAGCCTGGCCTCACTACCCTCTTTTAACTTCCTTTTCAATATCAGAATCGGTTTCGGACCACCAGGCACAACTTGTCCCCCTCTGCCTTCTGTGCCAACATTCCTGACGGCTCCCGGTAGTGTGACTGAGATACTAACACGGCAACCGCAGTGGAATGCAGGGTCCCCAGGAAAGACGCCCTTTGTGGGCAGATAACCCCTGTTGACATCTTGTGAATGGCTTGAATTCTTCAGAACCCCTCCTCCACCCGCCACGCTCGATGCAAGCGTGTCGGCTAACGCGAGGGTTTCTGCAGGTGGTTGTGGAATTTGCTCAGCCTGCACGTATCAGCCAGGGAGGTCTGATGTCGTGACGGCCTCCAGTCTCGTCAGCAGAAGTTCCCAAGAGGAGACGCCCGAGTTGGAACGCCACCAAGATTAAATCAGTGCGTCTAGAATGCCTTCGGTGATGGTTAGCTGTTGGTAAGCGAGTTTAAGGGCAAGTTTTCAAGATTTCTCCTCCCCAAATTCCCCCTGACCTTCCAATGGCATGGATTATCTAAAGGACAGTGGGCATGGACACTGTGTAACCTCAGGGGTTA